AGCTCTCGCATCTGCTCTTTCTCTCTGGTGCTGAACAGCTGCGGATTCACCTGGAAGAAACACAGGATTTAAGATTTGACGCAGTCCCTGGAAGTTTTAGTGATGTCTTTCTCAAGGGTCCACAGATGACACATACTGCGATAAGATCCCAGTTCCTGCAGTTCCACACATTAACAGGTTTACTGTGTTTGGTTTACTTACAGGCCGTAGTTTGGGACAGATGATGTCGAGGAGCAGTGTGAGGATATCAAGAGACAGAGTGAGCTGGCTGATCCTCGTTCTGATGCATGGTGGGATGTCGGCCATCATGGTGGACAGAGCGTTCTTGCTACCGAGGAGCCGCGAAGAGGCCTGGAGAGGACACAATAATAACAAAAATGGTTATAAAAGTAGACCACCCTGCCTAAAACATCTAATATATCTGTTCCCATATTACAAAGCTTCATTCAAAATGTTGACATCCATTTTCAAGTCAATGTTCAATGCTGCGCTGCTTTAAAAATAATGACAATAATGTTTTGACGGTCTAAAATTCTGTTTCCTTTTTAGAAATTAGGCTACTCTAATTTATATTCTTAAAGTTATATACTATCTCTAGATTTAAAGTCCAGCAGTGGCTCCGTGTGATTGCTTCTCTGATCCAAACATTTCAAACTGACTTACTCCAGAGCGTTAGAGAGTTGATTAAAAAGGACTAAAACATATTTTTTAGGGTGATAATGAAATATGTCAAAAGACATTCAAAGATGCCTTCAAAAACCTGAAACTTATTTTTGTTAATAATGGCCCCTTTTAGTTATCTTCATAGAATATTTGCCATTTCATCAGTTTTTCTATTTTATTTGAAACAATCTTAGTTATAATGCTACAGAAAGGTACATGTAGTGCATCGTTACCTCGTGCTGGCTGTGTGGATAGCTGATACGGGGCACATGTGTGTTGGCAAACAGGAAGTGGAAGGTGACGGACAGGAAGGGCAGATATCTCATCAGAGAGAAGTTCTGCCCCTGCAGAATCACCTGGTTCAACCTGTCTGAGAACGACAGCCACTCCAGACCCTCACACACACACTGCATGTTGGGGTCCCGCACACGCATCGACAGATAATTATCATACAGACCCTGTGGAAAAAAGATATAAAACATCATAATGTGGTGGTTTAAAATGTTAATTTATAGCCTCTCTTATTGTACAGTATTTAACATCTGAGAGTAAATCAACGGTTTGTGTTTGGATGCGTGTTCCTTACCTGAGAAACCTTCTCATACTCTCCGCTTGAATAAGCCAGACTTAAAATGTGCTGAAACCTCTGAGCTCCTTCCCCTGAGCCCGAGGCCTCGTCAAACCCCTGACCAATACGTTTCCTGAAAGAACAAAATGTGAATATTAAGCCAGCATCTGGTTAGTTAGGAGCAGGGAGAGTTAACAGAAAATATCATTTTAATTTGAAGAGTTGACATTTGCCTACAGTGCCTTTTTATTGTATGTCTATCTATAAAGTAAAGACAATAATGCCTGACAATATCTTTACACAAAACGTAGATCTGCATAGTCAACAGAGAAGGGATGATGGGATTTACACAGTTAAAAGTGCAATGATTTATCTGTTTGTTAATTTAAAAGAATGCATAAATTAGAGTTTTTCTCTAAAATCACATTCAACAAATATGACTTTTTGAAAAAATTAAATAAATGTGACTTTTCAAGACCTGACAAATTAAGCATCCAATTTCCCTGTCGGTAAACAAGGTAACACAACCCCGCAACTTTATGGATTTCACTGAACAATGCAGGGACTATGACATCATTGTAATGAGAGCAAAACAGCATGCACATTGCTTACTTCACGTCATGCACTCAAAAATACAGAAAGCTTTTATAATTTCATCAAAAACTCCAAGGAAAGCTCTGGCAGGACATGCTGTACCGTTTTGGCCGCTGTAGCTGGAAGATGCCCTGCCACAGATGGAACAGGCCTTTGTTCTGGTCCTTCTGCCCCACAGACACACACTGGATGGTCTTCGTGTCCACTCGCTTGTGGCCGCGGCCGTGGAGGAACTGTGCAGAAAGGACACATTTTGTGATCATAATTACACAGGATATTAATGATCATGCAACAAACACACTTCTACTCAACAGTGCTGCCTCCCACCTGCAGCGTGTTGATGCAAGACCTGATGTCGTTGTCCGTCTTCTCACACAGCGACAGCAGAGTTGCTGTGTCCGTCTTCATCCCCTGCTTTCGTGAGATCTGCAAAATAAAAAATGCGATTGTTGGTGTGATCTGCAATGTTCTTGTACTCCTGTGTGTGTGTTAATGTATGTGCATGTGTGTGTGTTTGTGTGCGCTGACCTCTGACAGTCTCTGTGACAGGCGGGAGGGTTGGGTCTGAGGGAACACCAGGAGGAAGGCCAGCTGCCTGAGAGGTCTGAGAGCTGGAGTATAACTAAAAGAGGAAAGAAATCAGATGATGGCTGCAAAAAAATATCAATATCCACAGCACCCCCATCTAGATGTTTTCACTTGGTCATCTCAGGCAACAGAAACGCTCTCATTATTATATATTTAGCTGTCTGCACCAGCTCTGTTTAGGCTGCGTCTCATGAGCCTTACCTCTACCTGAAGCAATTATTTAGGCTGTGAGTTCAACACATAAATTAAGTTGATGCCAAATAATAATACTGCAATTGAATACATCCATCCCTTCTTTCACACATTACCTTGCCTAAAAAGCTACGAGTAAGACTATTTAGATAAATTCCAAAGATCATTCTGCTATAACAAAAGTAAGCTATAGTGCTGAACACCGCGGTCTCTTACAGGTCGTTACAGATGCAGATGATTGGTCGGAGCAGGATGGTCTCCTTCTTCTTTTTTTTCTTCCCCGTCTCTGCACCAGCATCCCCGCCGTGTCCGTCTTTCCTGTGCAGAGCTGCTAACAGGATGTTGATAGCAGCCTGTCACATACCAGAGATGAACAAAGAAAAAACATTTATAACAAACCATAAAGAGGAAACTTAACACTTATTTTAAGGATCCAGAACGTACCGTAGGTGCTCCGTCGATCTCATCAATAATGAGGCAGTTTGGCTTCTCATTGGATCCCAAAACAGACTTCATCTGCGTTGCCGTGTCGATGCGTTTTTGGAAAACCTCTGCACTGCGGTCGTCACTGCAAATCATCAACAGGAGGATTATTGTAAAACATTTATTTAATCTACTACTACTACCATTGGGTCTGTTTTTTTCTCCACTTTGTCTAACCTGGCATTGATTTCAACCACGTTGTACCCAGCATGCTTTGCTATGACATGAGCCAGGGTGGTCTTCCCCAAACCAGGAGGACCGGACAGCAATGCCACCTAGAGAAGAACAAAAACACCAGTCTTGTAGAACACCTAACATTCATTAAAGTGAAACTGCAGTGCCATGAGTTTGCAGGAGTGTTTACCTTGAATCTGGGGCGATTGTGCTGGTCCAGTTCGGCCTCCAGTATCTCCTCCGTCATTTCGATCTTGGTCTTGAAGCGAATTGGGTTCGGATTGGGTTGATTGGGTTTAAATGAGCTCTCGTTGGGAGCCTGTTTCTCAGACCGGACAGGGCGGATCTTCCTCTCTCTTCCAAACACAACTGTGTCCCAAAGTTTCAACCACTTCAGCAGACAGCGGTTGGTAAACTACAAAGAAATAATTACACACAACTGGCATCAGCGAGGAATACTGTGACACATATCTTTGTTAAAGAGGGTTTCGTTCACTGAGTAGGAAAGCCCATTTCCACTAATGTTATTCAAATGAAAAACTCTAAAATAGTCATTGAGTACTGCTAAATAATTAGTTAGTATCCTAAGATAATGACCAAGTATTGCAATATAATGACACACTTTTTTTTTTTTAAAGTATCACAAAATAGCTATCTTGAATGAATGACTGTGTAACTTAAGATAATGCTAAACTTTCACAAGAAAAATTACTTACTCATTATTTCAAGTAAAGTAAGAAACATTTTTGTAGATACTAATTCATTATCGAATTGCTTTTCTTCACAAGAGTCAAATGTAATTATATTCTCTATTCTTTAACAAACAGAAAAAGGCTTCCATAACTGATGTATGTATGTAACAATACATCTACACAGGACCACTAAACATGACGTACATCATCACTGAGCAGCTGTGTGTACTGTCGGGGAGAGAATCTGTCCACCCAGAGGCGAGAGGTTCGGCCCTCTGCGTCATCAGGATCGTCTTCCTCTTCTTCCGGATCAACCAGCACATCGTTCAAACTGCTGAAATGTGACACAAATTCAAAAGAAGTTCATAAAAATACATTCACTGCTGCATGTCATATTATTGATTGACGCATCAGTGTTAAAGGAATTGGTGGTGAGTTACCTGGCAAGCACTTCTGAAAGATACAGAGACTCTTCCACAACCAGCTGGTGGCGCTGCAGAATTTCCAAGAAAGAGAAGAAATTAAACTAAGTTAGCAATCTTTAAAGCCCCATAGTTTCATCATGTGCACACAGTGTAAAGAATATGTGCAAGTGTTTATCTGAAAAGCATCCAACAGCTACCTGCAGAAATAAAGTAAATAACTGCACGTATTAAAGGTGGGGTAGGTAAGTTTGAGAAACCGGCTCGAGATACACTTTTTGTTATATTCCATGGAATGCTCTTAACATCCCGATAGCAATGAATATCTTAAGTGCTTTGACAAAAAATCCATAAAAAAATGTCATCTGTGGAAGCTGTAATACTGTAAAAAGTACGACCAACCATTTTAGCCGGCCCGGCTAAAATGACTGGATGGCCTACCTGCCTGTCAGCCTTCCATCTGTGCACAAACTTATCTCGTGCCCTCATTGGTCATGTGCGCGTTCGTGTGTGTTTGAGGAGGGGCTCTATAAGGAAGTGGCAGATTTTCTCCGGTTGTGTATTTTCAAATTCTAGCGATCTCGAGCCGGTTTCTCAAACTTACCTACCCCACCTTTAAAAAAGATGTGACTGTATTATTTGATTTTAGTGTTAGGCATCAGATACCCCTTTTTTCCAAAAGAATAAATGTCGAATTTCAAGTTAAAGGCTGTTTTGCAAAAAATAAAACACTTTTGTAAACAAGTATGTATTCTTTTGTATCAAAATAAAAGTGGAACAATAATGCTTTTTTTGACTGCAGATATACTCGGGGGCAAATTCCCAAAGAATGGATTACAGCTGAAAGAATCATAAATTACGCTACAGCTGTGCAACCCTTTTGTAAATTGGTCAATTGAAGTAGGTTGCACTATTCTCTGTATTTGGCTTATCATAATGAAGGTTTAGGTCTAGGAGTACTGTTTAACCCTTTGTAAGATGTGATTACTGAGCATCATCAGTGTGTTTATGTGCAGGAAATTTGGCAGATAATTAGCAAACAACAGCATCGTGGTCGCTCACCCTATCTGACTCTTGATCTCGCAGCGCATTGATTGGCACTGCCAGCAGCCCCAATGAACCCTGGAAATCTGGTACAAATCTGGAGTCCACAACCTGGAGACACACACAGGTAAATCCAAAGAAAGACACAAATGTAACATGGGCACTAGAAGTCTGTATGTTGACAATTATTCAGAGTCTAAGCTGAGATGACGCCACTACAGGGTTGTGTATCATTCGACATGCGGAGGAGTTCAACCTTTGTCGCCGTGTCTTCTGTTTGTTTGAGGTAGACTCGACTCCCTGAAGAGTCCGTCACACTGACGTACTCTCCCTCGATGGGAGGCCGCTTCAGCACATGCAGCGATGCCGTCGCTGCTGCAGGTCGCCTGGGCGAATCTAGGATTGAAGCAAATCCACTGATATCCAACACAGACTGGGTAGACCTAAAACACACAAAGTAGTTGAGAAGTCTATATTTTTCATTTTTGAAATAAAACGTTACATACATAAAATGTGGATAATGATAAATGGCCATCACGTGTTTTAAAAGGATATTATTACAGTTTCAAACTCCTACTTTTTGCCTGAGCAATGATCAAAAATGCAAATAGCATTCAAATTAAAATCTTATATAAAAAAAGAAAAAAAAGAAAATCCAAAGATTTAACAGGTTGTAATGACGTCTTTTAGCATGTGTTGGTTTAAACTCTTCCAACACACAATTTATTCAATATTTGAATGGTATTCCTGTTATTTCCTATTCACCCCCATGTAGACCCCATAGATTCCTGGGGAGCCTGAAAAGCTGAATAGGAATTATTCTTCCCTTATTTAGTGTCCCTCCCCAAGCTCCTTACCACTGGTCCATGCTTCGTTCCTACCTACCTGCGAGGTGGTTCACATTGCTCTGGAGAGGACGGCGGAGTGATGTCATCTTTCTGTGACGGGGCTTTGCTCTCTTGAGTCTGCACTGTGTTGAAAAGGCGCTTGACCACTCCTGCATCCTGCTTCTGCCGCTTTGCTTTTGGGGCTGCGAGGACAAAGTCAGATTTTTTAATTTACAACATCAAGCTAACACAACGAAGAATAATAATAAAAACAGCCGATGTTCTCTCAGGGTGAACTCACTGGTGGGCTGAGAATCCAGCAGGTGCTGCATGTCAGAAATGTCGTCTCCTGGATTCTGCTTCTGACGTTTCTCAGGCTTAGAGGATTCGTCTGAGACATTCAAGAAAAAGACACACATAATTAATGCTATAATGATAGGGAGATAACTATTAATACAAAATAATATGATAACTCGTTGCCCCTTCAGAAACATAATTCCTTTATTTGCCCACAGATGGTACATTTACATTGTAAAAGTTTAGATAGAGACGAAATAAATAGCACACTCTTAGATAAAAGGCATGCACATAATATTTTAAAAAGTATTACAATTCACAGAAGTACGCATTCAGTTAGATAAGTAAGTAGCAGCAGCAGTATGTATTCAATAAAATAAGTGTAACATGTCAAATGAATTGTGGTAGATAACAGTGGTAATATTATAGAAAGATCTATCTATATAATTATTGCACACAGTTACATACAGAGTCTTGTTACAGTAGTAGATGGTCTAACTAAGAAGTAGCAGCCAATAGTAGTAATAATCTTAACTAGGAACATATTGTACATTGGTGTTATTTCACATCAGTGTTGTCTTTTATTCCAGAAATGCACATCCTATCTTTAGAGGATATTTGTGCCTTTCTTTTTTATATATAAAATATGTTTTGGTTCTGGGGAATTGTAAAAGGCATGTTTCAGTGTTTTGTGACAGAAGTTTGACTAAATGATTATTACTTTAGCATACTTTGGTTCTAATAACTGAGTACTTCTTCAACCACAGGTGAGGAATAATACAACACTTTAGACTTAACGTTTGTTTTGGGAACATAATATAAAGGTCCTGTTAACGTTTTTGATCTGTATTTATTTCCTCACCCTCGATCTGAGCCATCGCCTCCAGCTCGTCGGCGAACTGATCCTCGAAGTCATCCTCTATCTCGAAAAGTTCGTCATAGTCGTCCATAACTGCTCCGACAGGTACAATGTACAACCAGAGACACTGTAATGTGTTTAATCTTAACACAATAACAATTTTCTCATAAATATTTCCTTGGCGAATACAGTAGCGTTTGAGCTGCAGATTTCCCGGCAATTATTTTGTTGTTGAAGTTTTACTTCCAGGTTAAGCGTGTCTCCGTCAATCTGATTGGTTGTTAGAACACATCTTGTCTCCCATCAGGCACCGCGGTGCTCAATAAATGACAGTTACAAATATTGAAGATACAAATATCTTCTAACAGGCCTCTTGCAAACGAATATCCTAATATAATAAGATAAAAAGATATATCAAAAATATAAAACAAAGCAAATGTATTTTATGTTTTAAATGTAATTTAAGTAACACAGCTACAGGGATGAAAACTCAATGTTGATTTTCTTGGGTTTGGCCTGAAGGTGGCTCCAGACGAAAGAACATGATTATTTTTACAAAACAGTTATATAAAGGTAATTAATATTGACTAATAAAGAAAATACGTTTCAACCCCTTTATTACACTTTTTTTTCTATGTAATGCTTGGTATATTTTGTCATTAGACATTATATATCTATTATTCTATTTATCTATTTGTACTTTTACCTGCATATATATTTTGATAAGTGCTGCACATGTTTATACTGTCTGCATTCATATTTACCTCTCATTGTTTGTTATTTATATTACCACTTCAATGTGTACATTATTCTGCACATAGCTTCTTTTTGCACCTTTGCTTAGATGCATTTTTTATGTCTCAGTACTTTATGCAATATTTTTCAAAAATACATCTTAAAATTGCAAAGTAATTCTTTTTTCAACAATCGTTTTTGTTGCACAAATTGTTCTCTATCTATGTGTGTGTGTGTGTGTGTGTGTGTGTGTGTGTGTGTGTGTGTGTGTGTGTGTGTGTGTGTGTGTGTGTGTGTGTGTGTGTGTGTGTGTGTGTGTGTGTGTGTGTGTGTGTGTGTGTGTGTGTGTGTGTGTGTATGGGATTAATGATGATGTATGTGACGTCAGGGTGTCTGAATCACCACCATCTGCTCCTTGCATCAGACAAACACCGGCCAGCAGTTTGTGTGTGACCCTGAGTTAATTTCACATCAGGGAGCACGTAGGCAGAGTCAACTCAACTCTCCCTGTAGCTTCCTCTTGGACTTCTTGTCCTCTTATAATGGCAAGTTGATGAAAATGAGAATGTTAAAAGTGTCCAGTTGTGTTGAGAGTGAACAAATAAAATCTATACTTAATTACAAATATAAAAATACATACATTCTTTCAAATACAAATATTTTCAAGCGATTCCCATATTATTACATTTTATAATGTTAAACAAGTAAAAACATGCTGTTAATGATGTGGAACACGCTCAAATAATCAATTGTAACACTCATTTCAAATTACCAAGAAAAAAGTATGATATACAACTATCTTATACAAGCATCTTATATCGTAAGAATGTATGAGTTTTTTTGTTGTCATAACTCAAAAATTCAATACTACAAATTGATATACCCTTAAACGCTTAATTATTGGAAGATTCAGTATGTCTTCACATGTCTTTAAAAACTTCCCTGCTGTGGGACAATTAAGGTTTTCTGTAAACAAAAAAATACATTTTCTACCAACTTATTTGAGTAAAAGCTTTTAAAAAGGTCTACAAATTAGTTCCTGAAAGTTATTGAATGAAATTATAAACAGTTGTTCAATTTTTTATCCCACACACATGCCTACTTAGCACTTACTAGCAGATGTTTATGTGTTTGACGCTAATGATTATAAATGATTGACCATCAGCGTGTGTGTGTGTGTGTGTGTGTGTGTGTGTGTGTGTGTGTGTGTGTGTGTGTGTGTGTGTGTGTGTGTGTGTGTGTGTGTGTGTGTGTGTGTGTGTGTGTGTGTGTGTGTGTGTGTGTGTCTGTGTCTCTGTGTGTGTGTGGCGGACTCTTGTCCACACCAGCATCTGCTGGACTCCACTGCTCAGCCATACCATACACTCCATTATCCCCTGGCAGAGTGTGTGTGTCAGCGGTGCAGGTGCCACATTAAGGTGATGTGTTTAATCATCAATTCAAGCAAAGGACAGCCCTCTTCACCATAAGAAACACCAAACACGTTCAGTTACAGCCAGCTTGTAGTTCAGCTGAGCAGGGACTTTTACCAAGGGCTCGAGTGTGTGTTGGACTGTGTGTGTGTGTGTGTGTTTGTAAGTTCTGTATATGTATTTCCAAGCTTTTATAGAGTGTAATGTTTAATTATTGGTGTTTAGTGTGTTTGCAGAGTAGGTCTACAGTGTCAGATTATGTGAGGCAATTGATGAGAGTGACTGTAAATGTGTAAGTGTTAGATCCACAGGTGTGTGTGTGAATACAAAAAGTGTGTTTGTTGTTGTGTGCATTGCTGTGAACATTGAGGATGTCAAACTCCACCACCAACTTCTACGCCCTGTCCCAGTCCTTCAGCTTCTCTGACGTTTTTGTCATAGTCACATACTTTCTCCTCAACCTCGCTGTCGGCATCTGGGTGAGTCAGATCTTTATGAATGTATGTGTGTGTGTGTGTGTGTGTGTGTGTGTGTGTGTGTGTGTGTGTTTTGTTCTGCCTGCTTGCATGTTCATTTTATATGTAGGTGTTGTGGATGCTTGTGTTTTTAACAGTTTTCTCTGTCAGTCATCATGCAGGGTGAGCAGGAATACTCTGAGCGGATACTTCTTGGCTGGACGAGACATGGCCTGGTGGCCGGTGAGTGTGTGTGTGTGTGTGTGTGTGTGTGTGTGTGTGTGTGTGTGTGTGTGTGTGTGTGTGTGTGTGTGTGTGTGTGTGTGTGTGTGTGTGTGTGTGTGTGTGTGTGTGTGTGTGTGTGTGTGTGTGTGTGTGTGTGTGTGTGTGTGTGTGTGTGTGTGTGTGTGTGTGTGTGTGTGTTTCAGGACTCTGTATCATCTCAAATGCTGCTGATGTTGATTTTGTTGAAAAGACCTCAGATAAATTCCTAATTCCTTAGATGTTGTGTAACATTTGTAGGATAAAGCTTTTTCTGATCAGCAAATATTATTGAGCTTAGATATTTTTGTAAATTAGTTAGTGGTTGATTATTGGGCACTTGTCTTCTACTTTAAGATTTTATTTTACAAAACATATGATAAGCTTTGGAAATACAGCACGAATATCAAATTGGCTGTTCCCTACCTTTTTTGGTTTGAAGCACGTTACAGAAAAGTCTGTCTATAAGTTATACTTTCCACTAGTGTGATTCCCCATCTCATTTAATAATAATGAAAATAATATTTATATTTTGAAAAGCAGCTTAAAACTTGACTTTCAAAGTATTGTGGCAGAAAACAGGAAAAGCTGGACACTCAGGAATAAATATGACAACAGTAAGGCCAAAGAAAATCAAGACAAAAAACAAATTAAAAGGAAGATGACAATAAGAACATGACTTTAAAAGGATGACAATACAAAAAAAATACAAATAATTTAAGTATGTAAAGTAGCTATTGGAGGCTGAACGAGGTAAAAGAAAAAAAAGACGTACCAAATTAATATTCATTTAAGGATTTTCCTGCTCCATTTATTATCTCATGACCCCTTAGAAACATACAGTGGCTTCAGCTTGATCAGCTCAAACATTAAACTGCTGCAGAAGAAGTACTTTAACACAAGTATGTTTACATTGTTGTAAAGGTAATGTTGCTTAAACAATCTGAATTCTTGTTCACCACAGATTGGAGCATCTCTCTTTGCCAGTTCAGAGGGCTCAGGTCTGTTTATCGGCCTCGCCGGCACCGGAGCTGCTGGAGGGATCGCTGTCGCTGGTTTTGAATGGAATGTGAGTAAAAGCACACACACACAATTATCATCATGCATGTTATTTATTTTTGTGATTATGTAATCATTATATGGCTGGCTAAAAGAACAAAATATATTTGTGTAAGAAAAATAACACACAGCTACAATAACTGAGCTCCATTTTGTATCTGAAAAGAAAACAGTTGACATTGGTATTGCAAAAGCTTTTTTATTTAGTTACTTGAACATTTCCAGACCAAGACATACATTTCGTTGTGTTTTAACTTCCTTCAAAGGCTGTTGCAGGCAGCCTTCTGCAGGGGGCAGCAGCAGTACACCTTCAATATTACACTTTGTTAGGTGGTGTATTGAGCATGAGGCAGCAGTCAGTCTTCAGCAACAGTTCACAGGCTTGCACATGCAGAGCTTGGCTTGCACATGCAGAAAATAAAAGGTTTTTTGTTAGTTTCATCAAAGAGATTTTTATCTCCTTTAGCTATTGTTTGGGACATTCTGGTGAAACCTCTGTGTCCTCTTTCTGATTCCTTTCATTCTTTCTTCTAGGCCACCTATGTGCTGCTGGCTCTGGCCTGGGTGTTTGTGCCTGTCTACATCTCCTCAGGGGTTAGTTTGCATACACACACACATACACTCAAACGGGTCCATAAGTGCACTGGGATTCTCTAAGTTGTCTTTCCCTAATTCCTGATGATTTCTCCTTCACATCTCTCCCCAACCCCATGAACTTTTTTCCTGAGGTTAAGGAATAGTGATTAGGAAATAACTATAAGAGCTGTTTTTTTTTTTTTTTTTACAATTCGACCGCAACCCATGTCTGCTTGTCAAGGCTAGTTCAGAAGATACATTTAGGGACCAAGAGACATTCTTTGCCAGCCAGCACTCCCCGCCTTGAAAATTCCCCAACAGGGTGTTAACACGACACACACACATATCTATACACACACACACACACACACACACACACACACACACACACACACACACACACACACACACACACACACACACACACACACAAATGACTTCATTTGTCTCTGTTTATATTTACTCTAAACTGGGGCACGTGTGAATCATGTTGCGTGAATACATGCCACTGATCCAAAGTTGCTAATTGGCCAATCATACTGAGCTACTAAAACCACATCTTAAAGGGATAGTCTCTATTTTTTGGAAGTGGGATTGTATGTTATCTATAAAAGAAAGTTGGCACGCACACAGATTGGAGCAACAGACAGGAGTATGGCATAGGGGCAAAGCAACAAAATGCTGTAGACAGGAGCAGCAGTAAAACCTATTTATGCAGCTAACAAATGTCAACCTTCCAACAAATCAATATCAGTTGAAGTGTATGATATATTGTGAATATGTTAACCACTTTACCTTGCCATCCTACTTTTTGAAAATAAACTTAAATCATATTTTTCATTCTCTCTTCAAAGCCCCAGACTTCATTGACAAACAGTTAGATATGTACTGTACCATATGTTTTACTAACTATTAATATGTACCTCATTCAAGCCCACTTAAAAGAAAATAACTGTATAAGTTTCACTCTTCTGTTTAGCTTTGATGTGTTAAATGTGTTAAATGTGTGTTCAGATCGTGACAATGCCGGAGTACCTTGGCCGTCGCTTTGGAGGAGAGCGAATCAGAACCTACCTGGCTGTCCTCTCACTGCTGTTGTCTGTCTTCACAAAAATATCAGTACGACAAAGTGACACACACACACACACACACACACACACACACACACACACACACACACACACACACACACACACACACACACACACACACACACACACACACACACACACACACACACACACACACACACACACACACACACACACACACTCGCATTAGCCTTCCAGCATTCGACAACTCTCTCTGCATTGACACTGAATCTGTGTTGTGTTTCTGTCTCCAGACTGACCTGTACTCTGGAGCCTTGTTTGTCCAGGTGTGTCTGGGATGGAACCTCTACCTGTCCACAGTCCTCATGCTGGTGGTCACTGCTCTATACACTATAGCAGGTACACACACACACACACCACACACACACACACACACACACACACACACACACACACACACACACACACACACACACACACACACACACACACACACACACACACAGGCCTACTGGGCACAGGCACAGGGGCAGGGGCCAAAAAAGGAAGAAACTCAAAAGGACCACAAAGAAACAATAATATTACTACAGGGAAACAAAAAAGACTACAAAGGGAAACTAAAGGATTGCTAAGAGATGTAAAATAACTAGGAAGACTCACAAAAACAACAAAAAAGACACTAAATATTACTACAAAGAGACTCAAAGGACCGTGAGAGGTGGCAATACAACCCTGAAAAGAAACACACACTACAGAGACCCTAAATGACTACAAAAAAGAGGCAAAACAAGCAGAGACAAAACATAACTATCCAATAAAACAGATTTATTTTTTTGTAAATACATTGTAATGTTCCCATACTACATCCTCACTTCCTTTCCTTTCTTAGGTGGTCTTGCGGCTGTCATCTACACCGACACTCTACAGACATTCATCATGATAATAGGAGCTATCATCTTAACAGTCACTGGTATGTACACAAATCAAACGTAAAAAACACAACTGCAGTTATTTCGAAGGAATGTTTTGTTTGAGTCATACGTTCCCTGTCCACACAGCCTTTCAAAAGATTGGAGGCTACAGCAACCTGGAGCGTATGTACAGCATGGCCATTCCCAGTAAGATCATTCCCAACAGTACCTGCCACCTGCCACGTGAAGACGCCATGCACCTGTTCAGAGACGCCGTCACCGGAGACCTGCCCTGGCCCGGCATGACTCTGGGGCTCACCATACTGGCCACCTGGTACTGGTGCACTGACCAGGTAACATGATACACAAACACAGACAAACCCTACTGCTGCAGATGGGCCTTTAGAGTGCTGCAGGAATCCTAAAACCAGGAAATGAGATGTTGCACTTCCCGTTCCCTTTTCTTAAGGTCTATTGTTTTTGTTTCAATGCCTGAAAAAGGCTCTGCGGTTAACACAAGCTTTATGGGTTTTCCTGTTTTAATCACCAACATAAAATAGGTCAGTAAATAGCCCACTCGTGAATTTTGAAGCTGACTTTGGGAAACAGGCAGAAAGAAGGCCCTCTATTGTTCCCTTTCGGAAGAGGAAATATTATAAAGTAACCTTAAAATTAAGAAACAGGAGGAAGTGCTCTTTTAATTTATACTTTGTGTTCCATGGTCAACATTTTGAAGGTTTAAGCACTAAGTTTAGTTTTCCAGATTCCTTTCTACTGATGTGGTTGCATCCACAAATCTCAGTAAAAGAAAAAAACTCCACCGTGTTAACCTGGTTTTGATGATTTCTTGACATACTTATTTTGCCCCTTTTGTTTGTTAGTTTGTTCACCGTGTAAATCGGCTTTGGGTCTCTTGAAAGGCGCTATATAAATGTAATCAATTATTATTATTATTATTATACTCAGACTTTAGGTTCCACAATTCCCCTGAGAATAATATGCGCTAAAATAAATGTTCTTGCAATTTATGAGGAACTACTTAAAATAATCAAATACACACAACCACTTATCTTTTCTGGAGAATTTGGGTGCAGATGTTTGAGGTGTTTTAGGTTTCAGTGTAACACATTTCCTGAATATATGAGATCACATGCTATGTATCTAAACTGGTTAAGGCAACAACAGAGCTGGATAGCAACAGTTTTTCTTTTTATTTACAACATTCACTTTTGGTCTCACATCAGTGTTTAATATTGCATTTATACCAGTTATCAACACAGCAGCCCTACCCTAACACCATCAGTAACCAATCACAGTCGTATCAACACCATTATGTCAGCAAGGAGCCATAATCAACTGATCTTGCATGTTGTGGATACAGTTTGTCTAGGTTTGATATGGAAAAAATACATTTTACAGTGCACAATTCTGAATAAGAAAAGCAGGTAATGTAATTAAGAAATATGTTTAAGACTGAAGTGCCTGAGTTTGCAGAGGACACTTGGTCACAGCAGATGTATTATCATCTACAATACTCATGTTTTGGGTTTGTTTCCACCAAGGTATCAGTATCTGCCTCTAAAATGTGTAATCTCCCACACACTCCCAAAACCATCCATTCTGACGCTATTAGCCTTGAAGCGCTGGTTTTGAAGATGATTAATCTATTTTTAAGAAATATTATCAATTCAAACTGCCAACTCTTGTTAACATAGTCGAAAAAATCCCATCAAAAGGTTATTTTATGTTGAGCCTCAGGGTTTGAAAAGAGGAAATGACACGCATGCCAGAAATAGAGAATATTCCACACTGAAGAGTCAACACTTTAGCAGGATGTCTGTATCATCAATCGTTCTTGTGTAACTTCACTCGCCCACTCCTCTACCTATCAGCCTTGTTGTTTTCAGACGCCTTCTTCTGCGACGCATCACCTCGTGCCCTTAAGTGTTTAAAGTTGCTGAGTTTTGAGAAAGATACTCCTAGTAACCCTAATGGGTTGGTGGGCATGCGTGGCGCGGCCTGAGTAGCCTTCCTGTACCCCGGGCTCTGTCGCCGTGGTGACCGTCCGGAGCGGGACTCTACGCGCGCCTGGGCCGAATCAGGGTGCAGCGTTTGACCCTGCCAGTAACGGTGTCCTCCGATCACCGGGACAGCAGAATTGGTCGGACGGTGATAACTTCCAGGCTTGGCGATGATTACACTCGGGCCTCTCTGTCGCGAGTCACGACCCGGAGACTTGGAGGTCTGGAACAACTGGACAAGATAAGAAGCAGAGATGATTAGGACACATGGAGTACAGAAGAGTAACACATGGTGCCGATTTGTGAGGTTACAATGGACTGGAAAGCCTCTAGAGATGCAAATAACAATTGTTGTCATCATCGATTATCTGGTTAAATAAAGGTTAAATAAAAATCAATAATTTTTGCTTGAGAACGTCTGCATCTCAGAAAATTCCAAAACTAATTATTTCATCACAAAACATCAAAACTGTGGTATATGCTTTTTGTTATTACATATATTTACATACAACTGCAACTCTTTTGACTCCAACCTGAGTCATAACAACCTTTTCAAGCTTCAACTAGTTCCGAATCCTGCAGAAAGACTACTCAGAAGATCCAAAGATGATTGTTCATAACACCAGTTTTAGCAGCTTTATAGTGGTTGCGTGTGAGTTTTAGATTACATTTAAATGTTTATGATTTAAAATGCATATACAGGGCCATCTTTTGACTTTATTTCTGACCGGCTTAGCCCTTTCTTAAAAAAACATTAGTTTTAGAATTGCATTTTCCTAAATTGTTTGCATTATGTGCTTTTACAGCATTTGTTCTTTTATTTGTTTTCATCGTACTATGCATTTCCTGTTTGCATTTCTTTTTTAAAGTGCTGAAGAGTTAAAGTTATATACTATAATATTATTGTAATGTTATTATGTTCTGTGTTTAGGTGATTGTACAACGCTCCCTGTCTGCTAAGAATATAAGTCACGTGAAAGGAGCTTCGATCCTGGCTGCCTATCTGAAGCTGCTGCCCTTCATCCTCATCATCCTCCCTGGCATGATCAGCCGAGCTCTCTATCCAGGTGCGTGCAACCACACACACCTTGTTATTTGACAAATTTGAAAGATAATGACGTAATTGTGAGCAGGTAGCGGCTTGCTTTGGCACCCTTCATGCAGTACACTCATTTGTAGTTTGATTTATATAGATGTCTGTGTGTTTTCTTAGTAGAACGGCCAACTTATTCACAACAACCATAATGCTTGGGAACTTCTGCACTTGTCTCTGCATTGATTACTCATTTAACAGTAGTAAAATGATTTTAAGGATGAAGACGAGCATTGTGTCAACATCTACATATTAGTGTTGTCAAGGGCTGAAACAAAAATAAAAGAAATACTAAAACTATTGATTGAATTTTAAAATAGTTAATGATCTGTCATTCCATTAAATTACTAATTATTCCCCTCTACAAATAACTTTTATTTTCATTATCTACATAACCTATTACCTTCTCTACCAAGGAGGTTTTGTTTTCATTTCTGTTTGTTCGTTTGTCCGCAGAAAAATGAATTGCCCATTAAACTTGGTGGAAACGTTAAGCCTGGGAAAAAGACCCATAAGTATTTGGAGCCATTCAATTTCAAGAAGGATACACAAATATTATTCACTTCCTTTGACATTGCAAGTGCACTATTTATCAATGAATTTGTTGATTATTGCAATACAACTAGCAAAAACGGTTAGTCTGTAAAAAAAGGTTTTGAAGTAACAGTTTATAATCCAAAGATTTCTCCAATTATTAAACAAGAAACATGACAACCTGTTAAGTGCAAGTTCGAGGAAGAATGTAAATCACCTGTCCTATGTGCCTGTGCGGTGAGGGGTTTCCCTGTCTGCGGAGCTGCTGTGATTGGCGGATTAGGTCAGAGGTGTCTTCACTGCTGGGATCCCGCAGATCCAGCATGCTCTGGGAGAGGCGGGCCATCATGTTGAACCCGTCTCCCTGGCGATGCCCGTGGCCCGACCCCGTCTTCACTCCGTTGTTCAGCGGGTCACTCGGCGGGGGACATTCATAAAACTCCTCCTCTGATGCTGTGGAGGTGATTGAGGGGGCATCAATGACCCCTCGGTCGCACATGACCTTGGTGCTGTCCTGGCTGCCCTCGCCGGTGCTGCCAGAGTCACTTTCCTCCTTTTTAGAGGACATGCGGCCACGGCCTGGCTCCTCCCTGTTTTCCTTTTCTTTGAAGCCATCGAGACTTTCCAATTGGTCCATTTTTATCAGAGTGACCTGTGGTTGACCAGGCTCCTGTGGGGAGGCGGGGTCTATGACTAACTGCAGTGTGCGGCGTTTAGGAACAGGAGGGGCTGCAGGTTGAGTCTCTGCAGTTTGATTAGCAGTGTCTGTTGGCTGTGAGTCAGCAGTAACATTGGATGGCGTTGGTTCATTCAGTTTGTGCGTGTCTTGTGTCAAAGGTTTGTCAGGCTGCTGAGGGGGCCCTCTGGAGTCTGTTGCATCAGTTTGGTCTTTATTTGGAACAATGTCTATTTGCTCTTTTAGCTGTTTGTTGGTTGGACTCACAGGAGTAGAGACAGTTGTATTCCCAGATGGATTCTCCGCATCTCCTGTAGCTTTTGCATCCTGAACTGAAGTGGGGTTCTCCTTCTGCGGTGGGAGCATCAGTGGTGAGCTGAAGCGAATAGCCTGGCTAGTCTCAAACCTCTCTGACCTCTGTAAGTGGACCTGATTGGCTCGCTTATCATCCCTGATGTTGATAAAGCCAATCACGTCGCTCGGTGGGTCTGGGTCTGGCCAGATGGGCAGGTACGGGATCATGTATGCCTTTTCCAGATGGGCTAATCCCGGATGCAAGGGTGGTTCTTCGATGACCCCCCTAACACGTGCTTTCGGAAACTTGAGCCCAGTGGGATGACGGGAGTTCCTGGAATTTTGTTCAGAAGAATTGGCACTTGCGTGAGTTCCCCCGGTAACAAGAGCATATTTGGGATTGATGAGCTTCCTAGCTACAGCAGCAGACACCGGAGCAGGAGCCACCTGAGGGACCGATTCAGGGATGGGCTCGTCTGCCATGGGGACTTTGTGGAGAGACACACCTCTGGACACGAGGTAAAGGTCACAAAACTGAAAGTCGAAGGTCTCCACTGCCTGCCCCGTGATCACTGTGATGAGGTTACGGTCCAAACGAGATGAGGACCAGGTGAAGCTGGAAAAACACAGACAAGGAAACATAAATTCACAGCAGTGACTCACCTCATGTGCTCAGATTTCTTTCATACTACATTTGTTCCGGCAATTTATTTTCCATACTAACTCTTTTCACTATGTCGCAACTCCTACTTAGAGAAACGAACGAACACTTTAATTATTACACCAGACAGTCATGGATCACATCATGCCCTTTGATTGCATCGTGTGGGTGAAATAGTAAATAGGTAACTATAGATGAATAATTCAGCATGTGTTGAGGGAAAGATTTATAGTTGTGGAAGATTTGCCTAGTTCACACAAATTAGTTTTGGCAAATAAAGATATGCACGCTGCAACAATGCAAACATTTTCAATGTTGCAACATGTTCTACAATTATTGCCTTATGGTTGTTTGCCTTTGCCAACCAATAAAAAAGCAGTTTATAATCAAGTTTTTCCCAAAAAGGCAGACATATGCCAAAGAGAAACACTGCAATACTAATTGTATCCTATAAGACTATCATGTGAAACTCCGTAGGGCAAAGTGGAACTAGTGATCATTTTGTGTAGGATGGCCTCATGTAGTGCAACCCCTATCACACAACACACACTCATTTAAAATAATAGTTTGAGCAGCTTTTAATGCAAAAATATACGATATGCAAAAATGCACTGAGCTTGCACACACTCACAACATAATGTGGGGTACACTGCTCACCTGTATGAACCAGAGATGGCTTTGTCTGCGTCTACCAGGAGGAACTTCTGGCTCAGCGCTCCACGCACCCTCTGTGCAGATCTTGTGAAGAACTCCACCCCACCACAGCTTCGCACACGCAGATTCTGCACAAAAACACAAAAGCAATTATGAATTCAGGTTTAATGCTTTGCAAAAAAGGAGGCTCTTAGGGATGAAGTGTGATGGGAGGAAGGATTTTATTGAACAAAAGGGAAACAAAGGCGACAAGAGCATAGGAAGACAGAAAATAATGAGTTCCCTTTTTGCTCTTCAGAACAATTCTTCTTTATTAATACCATCGTAAACTTGTGTTGGCTGCACGTTAGAGCATGGACTGTATATCTGTATGAACGACACACCCTGCAGTGTTTGTCTTTGGCCCTGTGATAAGGGTGTGGTTTCTGGCTGAGCGTTACCTCGCAAGTAAATGTCTGTGTGAAATGTCACAAGAGACGCGATGCCCAACAGTTGTAAAATGCTCACAATAAGAGCAAAGATGGCAGATAACAAAAGGTTGAAAGAGATGAGAGGTTTGGTGGTTAGAGCCGTGAGGAAGGAAGAAAGAGAAATGAAAGAGAAACATGTCACAGAGAGTAACGCGTGAGTGTGCATGGTTTATCTAATTATATGCAGCACAGACAGGAATGTGCTAAGTGTCTTCCTGGTCTAAAACACTTAGAAAAGCCCAAATTAATTAAATATTAAGGGTTTTTTGTTAACTGCCTAGACCAGTTCAACTCAGAGAGGCAAAGCATAACAAAGACATTAAGCCAATGGCAAAAACAACTAGCTAGTGCATGCGCCTTATTAAGGCCTGCAGGCAAAAACCTGTTCCACTACGTTGAACATGCCCTTATTTCAAATGTTATCCCTTATGTAGTAATATACATGAACATGTGACTGTAATGACACATATTTATTGGACATTTTGGAACTGTAGCTTTTAAATTTAAACTGTTTTCTATTATGTTAGGCTATACTTATCAAGAGTAGCCATCTATTCCAATTAGCTCTTCTCCCAGTTTATCAAAACATCATCAGGGCGTGTGCATACCTTTAGATGTCCACGATGCATATCAGCTCTGCCACACATGGAGAGGAAGCAGGGGACTGAAGCCAAGTCAATTATTATGTATACAGGAACTTTGCGTTTGTAGGCTGCATCCAGCAGGTCCCGAAAGATATCCACATCTGTAAACACATCCATCACCACGGCTATCACCTACACACACAAAAATAGAGGAAACCACAAATGGGGTTAGTGTTTCCTGATCGGTAGGGGGGGATTTGATTTGACAGCCATTAAATCCTCAAAGGAAGCTAAAGACTAAGAAAACTGCATCTAGAAATTAAATAGATCCTCAAAACACAAAAACCGCAACCCTTATCTAAATAAATACAAATAAATAAAAATACAATTGACAAAAAAAACAAGTTTAAATAAATCCTTTACATCCACAGAAATGAATGTATAATGTCAGTTTTGATGTACTGTTTGATGTACTGTTATTATTATTGTATGTATTTAATCACCATTTTGTAATGCTTAACTAGCTCTGGTCTATAGGTGTTTTGTTTGAGACGTCAGTAGATAACAACATATATGACAACCATATTGTTTCATTTCAAATATTAAAAGATGTATGGTTTACATGAGTGAGATTGTAGATGAAACACTTTACTAGTAAAGCATTTTTGAGGAGTGCATTTTAAATCAAGCATATTTTTTGAAAACCCAATGTTTAAATTAAGCATTTTCTAAACTTTCAAGACTTTGTGCAAACCCTGTTCCTGATCACTTTGTCCCATAAAGAGATTGCTAGAAACAAATTGCTTCGCAGAGTGGTGACAGACTGTGAAGTGTCTGGATAGTGTGTGTTCTGTGTGTTCAACAACACAACACTAGTGACAGGATGGTACTCTTCACATAGCACTGCTATTTACTCTTCTCTCCTGACCAAGTTCAAGAGTCTGGCAACTTACTGAAAGGCTGATCAAGAAAATAGCTCTGGGAAAAGCTCATTAGTGCACATACACAAACTGTACATAGGGACGCCCAGTTCAATTTAACAGCAGTTTTGGGGGGTAAAAAACGATTGGCATATGCCCTTTAAGCCGTAAAAAAGTATTTCAATGTATTACTAAGTCCTATGAGTCTAGACTATATGTACATGCGTCAGGATCTATGTATGTAAGAGGTAAAGGCTCCCGGGTGCTGTAATCTTTTCAATGACGTCAGAGCATTTTTTACCACTGGTATGTCAGGATCAGACTTGTTTTATTAGAACTTTGTTGTTGGTATTTGTGAGTATGTCACATGTGAGAGAAGAAAAAGAGGAAATAAGGTTTGTAAGACAAGATGCCAAGACAAAGGAAAAAAATTAAACCGATGTCAACATGTTTAGTAGAAGATATGATTAATCCTTGTGTGCAACTGCAATGCTGTAAGCAGTGTTCAGTGTCAGACATTTGATAAAAATAATCATCCTTAGACTGATGTTTCTTGGATTTAACAGAATACAATTAAATACAAATGTTTGATTAATATTCAATAATTCAAAACTCAAGATCTGGGCTTAAAGTTAATATCACACATTAAACATCTGCCATTTTGGAAAGTGCAATCGCAGAATATCTGAAATTACTGAAACGATTATCAAAATAGTTTCAGGATAATAGATTTGTTTTGTCTTCTTCACTGCCAAAATTCCATGTGTGTGTGTGTGTGTGTGTGTGTGTGTGTGTGTGTGTGTGTGTGTGTGTGTGTGTGTGCGTGTGTGTGTGCGTGCGTGCGTGTGTGTGTGTGTACTGTGTACTGTGTATCGTGCAACTATAGTTATTTACAGTGTTGTGAAGTAACTTAGTAGATGTACTCAAGAACTGTACTTTGCTTGAATATTTGACATGTTTTGCTACTTTGTACTTTGTACTTTGTACTTCAACTCCACATCCACTTGTACTGCACTACATTTGTTTAATACCTTGAGTTACTTTGCAGATTCTATCCCGGAGTAAAATAGACTACTCTGCAGCATACAAAGTAGTTAATATAGCTGCACCTTTACAAGCTTTGATAAACACATTAATGAATCAATACTTATAATCAAAACATATTATATAATAAGTTATTCTGAAATGGGCCAATGTGCATAATAAGTACTTTTACTTTTGGTACTTTGTGTTGATGCTTACTCAAGTAACATTTTGAATGCAGGACTTTTACTTGTAAAAGTATTCCACACTGTAGTTTACTCAGGTAGAAGATCTGAGTACTTCTTCCACATCTGGTTATTTATTTATCACACTATACGGTTGTTGTTACCTTCTGGGCCGATGCGATGCTCTTGCGCACCACCTCTTTGATGTGCGTGTTCCCGTCGGTTGGAGGTTGGGTGTACACGGTCACGCGTGTGACCCCTCGGTATGAACTGGCCTCGGGCCACCCGAGGTCCAGCTCCGCCACTGACGCCTCTGACCGGTCCGGCCAGTACTGCAGCGACACCTCGCCGTCCCCCCCGTACTCCCCGGACCCCGGGGTGAGGTTCCCCGGGCCCGGGGTGAGGTTCCCTGGGCCCGGTATCATGCACCCTGGACCCGGTATCATGCTCCCTGGCCCCGGGGTATCTGGCTTCTGATGGTGCTCATGTCCGGGCCTGTAGGCCTCCGCGCTGTATTCAATCCGCTGCAGCTCCGGTTCCGAGAGGAACTCCCGGAGGCCGGTCTCGCGGATGAAGTCCCCGAACGCATCGCGGCCCTTGGTAACGAGAACCTCGATCGCCAGCCGTTGGTCCTCGCTGTAGAAAAACTCCGGTTTGCCCTCGCTCACGCGCCAGTTGACGTGGTGGTTGTCCAGACACTGGACCTGAGACAGCGCCATGGCATCGATATATCCCCCGGTCAATAAAGAGTACAGTACCAAAATAACCGAGCTAATCCAGTTTCCTCTCGTTGGTCCGTAGGGTCCAACTTAAAAACTGACATTACGCTCCATAACGTGTCCGCGTGACATGGGCCCGTGTGGCGGTAAACATATTTCCATGTGAAGGAAAGACACCGCTGCAACAGTTTGCTCAACACAGACTCGGGTTTGCACACACTCTCTCTCTCTCTCACACACACACACACACACACACACACACACACACACTCAGGTGTTGCTAGAACAAAGCACCTCCGCCCAACGCCACGCCTTTCACCTGACAGGGGCCCGGTAGATCCAGCGGCAGCCCGGTTCAGCAGATCCAGCCGCCGGGCAGGCAGACAGCTGTCTGGGTGGATGAGTGTCAGCCTGTGAGTCAAAAACAGCGGAACACGTACTTAACAAAGAAGTCATTAATCCTCCTTTAAAAGTGTTGAAACTGTTGGTGACTCAAGCTTACTGTTGTGCTGACGAGCCACTTTTCCTCTCTTTTTGTCTCTTTTCTAATCCTAAAGACCACTTAATGATTCCACTGTTGAGTTCCCCGATGGACAACAATTCGTAAATATCACTAACGTGGCACCTACGTGGCACAACTTTCACTTTGTCCAAGTTCACGTCGCTTTATTTTACCGTATCTTTCTTGATTACGCTTTTCCAGACAGAAAGTTCATCGAGTGCTGCTCCAGCGGTTTGGGTTTGCCCCAGGAATCCGGCAACGGAAGCTCTATCACCGGGGCAGAAAGGCGGAGTGTCCGGTAGTTGGTTGGGAAAGAGAGGCTGTTAACTCCACCCTCCTGTTACGACCTTTATATATACAGTCTATGGTTACGACCCAAATCGTGTTTTTCATCCCAAAACAACCCTTTACGAAAGACAGTGGTGGGAACCATGGGGCTTAGTTATTTTGTTCAGCTGCTGATAAATATTAACTGTTGCCTGTAATGTGCTTAGAGCTAAATACATTATTTTGGTTTTATCTCACTGATAAAAAAAGAACACATTTCCTATTTAGGTAATGCAGTGCAGATGCCAAACTTTTTGCTTATCATGTGATTGCTTGTTAATTACGTGTCACTGTAAAGTCTGCTGGATTTTGTTTTGATGAAACATTAGGAGAAATAACTGATATAGGTCTGGATCAGGGTTGTGTTATACTTTAAGATTAGAATAAGGTCAAGTTAATGGTTATGTAGATAGAGATGCACCTTACTGACAAATTATCTTTGTTGTGAGTTCACTTTTTATCACCTACGGAGATAGATGAACTATCTCACAAGTCAATGGAGTTTAAAGAGATTTGCGTCTTGTAACTCTTTTTAAATCAAAACAGGCAGACTGTAGATCACAGGAGAATTCAGTGTAAAACGAATTAGGAATTCTACTTTTATTTTACTCCAGATCCATTACGTTTTCACAAGTAGAAGTTGCAGACAATTAAACATGCTCTGTCACGTCTTCCATCCCTGTGTACTGTAAGTGCCCTTTCTCTTTATATCTCAGACACTGTAGGATGTGTGGATCCAGAAGAGTGTGTGAGAGTGTGTGGAGCGGAGGTGGGATGCTCCAACATCGCCTTTCCCAAACTGGTCATTGAACTCATGCCAAGCGGTGAGCATACTGTTTTCAATCTGTCAACTACTTTGATAAAGTTTATTTTTTACCTACATGTTCATCTGTGTGTTGTATTGCAGGCTTGCGTGGACTTATGATAGCGGTGATGATGGCAGCTCTGATGTCATCACTGACCTCCATCTTTAACAGCAGCTCTACACTCTTCACCATGGACATCTGGAAGAAGTATCGCTCACGAGCCTCGGAGAGAGAGCTGCTACTGGTCGGAAGGTACGTCACCGACAGATGAAGGGTCAGAGGTCAGAGGAAATGTGTTATAAATCCTGGACACTGGCAGCTGACATTTGGAAGTGCCTCATACTTCAACAAATCTGAGCTAGCCCTTTAAAGTGAAAGAGCTGTGTCTATTTCAGGATTTCGACTGTGATCTTGGTGGTGGTGAGTGTGGTGTGGATCCCCATCCTTCAGTCGGCCAACAGTGGCCAACTGTACGTGTACATCCAGTCGGTGACAAGCTACCTCGCTCCGCCCGTCACTGCTGTCTTCACCCTGGCTGTCTTCTGGAAGAGGACCAACGAGCAGGTAACACGCACACACAAGTTATATAGATTAATCTCTTAATAGTTGTGTCTATTAAAAGGAAAACATGCCCTCCAAAAGAGCCCGCAGTCCAATGGGATGTCTTAAAATTGCTTATTTTTCTAATAAACACTCCATAACCCAAATAAAAACTCTGACTGATCCAAAAAAAATTACAAACCTTTACATTTTCAAGCTGGAAGCATTAGATGTTTGCTATTTTTTGCTTAATGACTTAAACAGCATTAACAAAATCATTTTCTGTTAGTAGACTAATCCATTAATTGACTAATCATTACAGCACTAATAACAATCAGTTACACTATTACTAATGACAATAAACAGAATACAATCTTATTCCACCAACTCTTTTGCGACTCCTTTAAAGATATTTATTTTTCAACACTTACACGACTCATTGTTGCAAACATAACCAAAATTAATACAAAGTTTACTACATTTTGTACACTCAACTTCTTGTCAAAACAAGAGTTTGAGGATTTTCTGCACTGTTTGTCCTTTCTCCCACACCGTACTGGTGTTCCTATTTTTTATTAGCCTCTCATGGAATCCAGCTGCCAACATCCCTCACTGCTTGGTGTGGAGCCCAAGGGTGTACTCACTCATGTTATGAAGTGTATTGTTTTGTATTTCCTATGTAGAAACCAGCATGAACGTGTTGCTTTTTCACTTGAATAAATGAAAGTGATTCTTGCTGATAACAGAGCGCAAGTGAGGGAAAGTTTGATTATCACAAGATATAGATTGACAGAGTGCTATGAAAGAGATAATGCTGTCGTAAAAAATTTGTTTCAGCCTAATAACATGTGTTTAAACATCTTTCAACTGCAAGTAAAGACCAGTTCACTGGATTGAATTCCTGTTTTTGATAGAGCACATCCTGGGTGTGTCTGCTCTCTGTGGACACGCTGTTTAACCACTCGAATAAAGTGGATTTTCAGGTTTTTCTTAGGTTTTTTCTTAGGTAATATTCAACTCTGAATAAAGCTAGAAAGAGTCATTTTTAGTTTTCTTCTATTACAATAATTTGCCTAACCTGGTTACACACAAAACAAATTAAGCAATTATAGTGAGCATGTTAAACATTGTACCTGCATGTTAGCATTGCCACTGTGTGCATGTTAGCATGATGACATTAGCAACTAGATCAAGTAGGGTCATTACTATGATCCCAGCGACCTCAGTTAGACTATTGTAAGGGTATTAACTAACTACACATACATACATTATACATAGTTATTGAAATGTTTTGAAACAAAGCATTTAGTTCAAATAGATGTCTAAAACATTCACGTTTCTATCAAATTTAGCACAGATTAAATGTATATACCTAGACCTGCTTAAGACCAAATCCATGCTTACTGGAGAAGTTATAAAAAGGAACAGTCATCATTTTCTTTTTGATGTATCATTATATATGATACCTGTGTACTAAGTTATTGATAAGGGCCAATAACAGTAGTTAACTGTTAAACAAAAGGTGTGAGTCTTTTCTTTGTTTTTTCTTTACACACACGGAGCATATCGCTGTAAGAATCTTGTGCTGGTGCTGACTCATGGGGTCAAAGGCTTCATGCTACTGCACATGATATGACACACACTGTCTTACACTGTAAAGAAAAATGCAGACATATTTCAGTGGAAATAACAATTACATTTTTAAATGTTGTTTTTTCACATGCAGTACTTTCACATCAGAAACAAAGAGAACCCGATGGGAATGAGAAACAAAGTACATGTATAGATGTTTGCTTTGCTTGCCTTGACAAGGTGATTATTCTCATGTGTTAAGTCGAACCACACAGATGACATTCTTTACTGAAGGCTGAACAGAGGCAGCGACAGAGACTTAATTTGTGTCTCTACACGTGTGTGTACTTAAGTGAGAGGTGACACCATGCTGACAGATTATCATGCTGGGAAAGTGAGAGTGAATCAGGAAAGAATACACGCACCATACTGAGGCTTTTAGCAGCAGGAAGTTCAGCATATTATTCAGTAAAGCATCTGATGATAGTGAGTTTAGTTTAATTAATATGGACAGCACAGTAGCATTATAATTACTTAAGTGCACAAGGACCAGATGCACTGTGTTTGATCAAATAAATACTAAAGTACATACACAAAAACAGGGTTTATAGGTAAGACATTTGAAATAAAATGATAAAACCAGGAAAGAGCATGTTCATGTACTTAAAGAAAACTGCTTTAAAGGAATCAATTTCTCATCCCATTAAAACATTACTATTCTCATACAGTATGTCTCCATGGTGAACGAGAAATAAAACAGTCTTAATTAATTAAAGTTAATAGGTACAGTCTTAAATCAAAACCAAACTATATCAAAACATGTCACACAACTCGTGCAATATAATCTAAGTCTCATTTATCCAGTCGTATGCTCACTACTTCACGAGTGCATGCATTTTAGCTAAAACCTTAATATTTAAAACCCTCCTGCATGTCTCACGCTTTTGCAGAGACGCTACTCTTCCATGCAAGTACTACTCACAAAGTGTTTTAAATAGCGAAAATGCATGTGGTAATGAATAAATTATAGAAAACAAGGCTTATAAAACTGAGTGTAAGAGTTTGTGAACAGATGTTTTGATACAGATTTGCTGTTGTCAAATGCTGCCCCAATAGGAACTCATCAACCATTTTCTACTTTTATGGATTCTTTGTTCATTGCGGTCAATGCGAGACATACTTGAAGACGGGGCGAATTGTTGATTGACTTTGGGGGAAAGTATTCCTTTTCAGTTGTAATTACCTATGAAGATTTCAAAGCTGAGAATATTACGTTTTTTCAAGATGTGACAATGGTGGCGCCTCATTGGTTTTTGTAATGACATCTTTTTACATGTGTTTCTATGTGTGTTTATGTGTATCCAGGGTGCGTTCTGGGGCCTGATGGTGGGCTTGGTGGTAGGTGTGTGTAGGATGGTGTTGGAGTTTGCTTTCCCGCCTCCCAGATGTGGCGTTGTGGACTCGGCACCTGATGTTCTGCGCAGCGTCCACTACCTCCATTTTGCCATCCTGCTCTGTGGGCTCACTGCTATTGTGGTGACTGTAGTTTCCCTGCTCACCCCCCCGCCCAGCCCTGAACAGGTGTGTACATACAGATATAATGAAGATCCATTGTCCCAGAGGGATATTGGTTTTCACAGCCAGTACTAAGAAACATACAGATATATAAAGAGGCTAGCATTTCGTCTGTAATACTTATTTGCTTTTGTACACTTGTAATGTTGTCTCAACTGAAGGTTGAGCTTCATGTTACAAGACAGTCAAAAAGGCCTTGCCTTTCTAAATCCAAAAGATCAACACCCTAAGAGAGAAATCCTACAGCACAGAGGAACTATTGTTGCTCTCAATAGAAAGACTATCTATAATCTAAATGCTTCATATTTCAAGTCCTGTTAATACCGCCGATCAATTTGACACATTACATTCTGGCCTGTGTGTGAACTCAAACTGCTAACAGTTGCATTACTGATGTCATTGCACATTTTAGTACAATTTAGCACAGACAACTAATCACAAGGAAAGTCAGTACTTCATATCCATTACAAATTAAGAAAGCTATAGTTTTATATAGGTGATTTAGGTTAATTATGTTGAATACAATTGAAGCCTGTATTTGTATTGGAACTGAATAATGTTATAATGACAGTTTATTCTTCAAATTGTCTTAACATGGGAAACCACTGATCTACAGTAGTGTAGTATTAATGGAATACGTTGGGAAATGATGTTATTTGCCACATTGCAAAGTGTTATTAGAACACTAATTACACTAAGCATAAAGACTAAATTGTGTGGAAACAGCTAGCCCGACTATATCCAAATGTATTTAAGTCTGTCTACCAGATCACGGTCAACATTATATCTGATGCGTTATATCTAGCTTTAGATTTCCATGGTAAACCTGAGAGTGATATTGATCTTCTCACCTATATAACTTATTTAGGAGTAAGTAAGTAACACTACAGGTGTTAACCTTTAACACACAGTTTAGACATTGTACCTGATTACAAAAGGAAGAGTGTAAATCATATTACTTTTTGTTTTAATTTGTTATTCTTTTCTTGAAGGGTTTGGGTGTTATCTATTGAGCCTTATTGCGTGTAGCAATGTTACAGATGTGTACTGATGTATATTCTGTGAAATGTTGTTGACTTACGCAAAGGGTCTTCATGAAGAGAGGCTTCAGCCGCAATACAGTATCTAATGGGGCTCTTACCAAACAAAGTCTCTTTAAGAAGGTTTACCTCTTCTTTTACGCCAGGATGTTGTCAATGTATATGGATTCTTTACACTGTAGGTCGTTGCTAGTACATTCATGTTGGATTTCCATTTTCTTCTCTCACAGTTGCTTAACCTGACCTGGTGGACTTTGACTGAAGAGCCACAGAGAGAAATTCCTCTGCAGAAAGTGTCCTCTGTCAGCCACCGTAGCTCCCAGGGTAAGGGTCTGAATATTCATAACACTTGGAATAAAACCAGCCATCGTGTGATCAACACTCATCCACACACACACACACACACACACACACACACACACACACACACACACACACCACACACACACACACACACACACACACACACACACACACACACACACACACACACACACACACACACACACACACACACACACACACACACACACACACACAAGCTGATGTTATTGTTGAGTGTGTGTGTCTGTGTTGCAGGCTCTGAGCCAACCCGGCGGGTGACATGCGGTCAGGGCACAGGGTTGTGTATCGCAGCAGCGCGGCGATCAGAGGAGACTCCAACTCCCAGAGTTCAGAGCGTCAGAGAGAGTGTGTTCTGGTCCAGGTTCTGCGGTGTCAATGCAATCCTGGTTGTCAGCATTAACATTTTTCTCTATGCATACTTTGCCTGAGTCGAGGATCATATTTCACATCCTGTCTCACCCTGTCGCTGAACTCCTGACAACATCAACTCCAGATCCAAGAAGGTGGGGAAACAAACTGTGGTTTCTGTACTAATTTTACATGAATCCAACATAAATCCTCTACATGTAGCCTCAGTTGTTCTCATTTCAAACTAAACTAAAAAAACACTAAGAGAACACCTGTAACCAAATGTATTATTTTGATTATAAAAAATGTTGAGATTTAAAGAAAAATCTAAGTAACACTTTAATTCATTAATTCATAGTACTCTTGTTTGAAGATTTTAATCCTTTTAGTACTATAGTTTATTGTTTTGTTTATAAAACTTGTCTCTCCTATTTTGTATAACATAGTTTCAAAGTGTTAAAAGGGTATTGTACAAATTACAATGAAGCTCGTGGCTTGAAACAAGCTAACATCAATCTGCAGTTTATAAATGATGACATATTAACATAAGGGCATTACACACCATATATTTATAGCTTATAGAAAATTAGAATACACATATTTGTGTTTTTATGTTTAACGTGGAAATCTATTTGCTTAATTTTACTTACAATGTTATGTTTATGTCCTTATGTCTGTCAAGCAGGGTTTTGTGAACTTTAAGTTACTGTTTTAGTTTTCTTTCATGCTATTTGGCTTGTTTGTGAATATATATCAGAATTTCTCAACCTTTTCTGGTCCCAAAAATTGCCCAGCTTTTAGTATTTTAAATGAAAATATACACACTTGTGTTTTGAATGAAATAGTGCATTAGAGCATCTACATTTTATGGAGATAATGTGAAATAAAGGTTTTACAGATAGGTTCAGGGTTGTTGTGTTTTCCAGACATTTTACAGTTTATCAGTAATACAATGTGCCTCCTGTTTTTGTTTAACAGCAGACTCCCTCAACGGACATTAAACCCAAGGTTGAGAAACTCTTTTATAACATTTATGTTAGGTGCGTTTAGATATCTTTTTTTATTTTAGTCAAAAGACAGAATATCATGACAACCTGTCAACCAGATGTTTTTCTCTTGTGATATCCCAAATAAATTATAAGATATGTGCATTAAAGTTACAATTGTTGGTCCAGAAATAAATGCAGGTTAGAGTATTTATAATCAGATAATATCACTCTTTATTTGGCTGCTGTACAGTTTCACTATTCACTATGGAGGAGGTAAGAGGGAAAGACATGACGTAAACAAAGCAAACATAGAGTTACATTTCACTTTTAAATAATATTTGGAATACAAGCTATTGGTGAAAGGAGGACGAGTTGTAAAGTTTCACTCTCGAGCCGCAAAAATGATATTTCCTATCTATGAATATGACAATTGTTTTTTTTTATTTACTGATTAGCCAGATATTAGTAAAATATGAAACCCACTGAAGTAACATCTGTAAATTGCCTTTTGTGTAAGAAATACTGTCCAAATCCAAAGGTATTCAATCAATAGTATAAAAAAGTCAGCTCCAGCTAATGCAGTAAACTCCAGAGGCAATTTTACAAGATTTTGCAGAGCTCTGTGGAGCTTCAAAAGGCTTTAGAAAACGGTTTATCCCCATACGCAGCAGAGTCTCCCAAGACCTCTGAACAGACTTTGGTGTAAAATGCTTGCAGTTGGAAAAACTTCACCAACCTTGGAGAAAACACTGTTTTCCCCAGAGCTGACTGAGAAAAAACACTTGCAGACTATTCAATCACCTCATATGTTTACTCCCAACTTGCCAAATACTGCAGCTTGGTCAGTGGTCCTAAACTTCAAACTAGAGCTGTCAACTTACCCCCTTAGCGTGAGTTTAGCAAGTGTCAGTTTCAGCTTGTTACGCATACAGTGTCTATTTAACATAGACGTATGTATGTTACATACGCAATGTAACTCAAACAAGTCAACATAGACTCCTGGTTTCATATGGGACACAAACACCAATCTTATGACTTATCACACTAATCTTATGACTTATCCATTCACCCAGACCCCTCTCTAACTCCCTTCTTTTCTCCCACCATAATTACGGCCATGTAGAGTGTTGTAGTTTGAAGTGTAGGCCCAGGGCCTTCCCTGGCCAACATGAGGCCCCACGCAAAGATATATGATGAGGCCCTCTGTTTCGCGAGTGTCGGGGGGTGCTAGTGGAGCCTCAAAAACCGTGCCGCGCCACACTAATTGTGCCGCATAAGGGCATACAGTAGGTGCGCCGCATTTTCGGCTCAGTTGAGGCTCCCTCCGCAAGATGAGGCCCCCTCTGCAAGGTGAGGCCCCACACAGTCTGCGTGATCGGCCTGTAGGGAGGGACGGCCCTGTGTAGGCCCACTAATCAAGCTGGTGTATTTGACAACTTGCTAATGAGAAAAGGCTGTCAATCAATACTGAACATTTGCGTAAATTCATTCCGTGTCAAGGGGACTAATTACATATTGGACTAATTGTTTAATCACTAGTTGTATAAGAAAGGTAAGTCACTACAGCCTGACAGAGGAGTGTCAGCGACAGTTTGATATGGTGTCAGTGGTACAGCGGTTGAACGTATTCTGGCGGGAAGATTCCTACTCGGCCTCGACAGCGCCCCCTCCAGGTCAGAGAGCTCGAGCAGTCTAGCAGGTCGATGATGTCACCACGCAGGAAGTGGAGGTGGGCGGTGTGAGGGGGGGTGTAGTCACAGAGGGCGTGGGCCAGACGGGGTTTCTACACAAAGACAGAGCAAAGACATCAGACAAACAGGAAACTGAAGCTGATTATCAAGAGAAACGATGCTTCATGATTCGTCATCATACCCCCACAACTGGTTCGTGCAGACGCTGGGAGGACTCTCTTTCATGGTGAGGGGGGTGAGAGTAGAGGTTAGCAGAGAGGAGGGACTCCTGAGAGGTGGTTTTATAAGGGTTGGGGTAGGGGTTACGTCCAGGATGGGGCAGCAGGTGAGGGGATGCAGCAGCGTCTCTCAGAAAGACCAGTTTCTCCGCCGCGATGCTGTGAGTTCTGTAGTAGTCCACCAGGCGGTTCAGGGAGCAGAACGTCTCGTCCCAGATGCAGTACTGACCGCCCCCCTCCAGCACCCGGAAATGCTCCACCCTCTCACCATAGCTGCAAAATAAGAGCGGTGAGAGAGGTAAAGGGATTAAAGGCAAGGTATGCTTTATGCTTCAACACCACTGTGAAGATGAGAGCTGTGTTGTTCTTCATTCCTCTACCGGCTCCTTTTGTTAAGAAATTCATGCAGAGGTGATGTGCATACCTCTGTCAGTTTGGGAAATGAGTCCACAATCATCTGGGTGTATCTCTATCTATCACAGGAGGTTTTCTCTCAGACTATAAATCTCAAATGTCAACACACACACACAAGTGAATAAATGTGCAACCTGAACGGAACTGTTTGAAAATCCTGAGGTAGTTTGTAAGCACTAATGAAAAAAATAGGAATAATAGATAAGAGCTGAACTGAACACTAAATTATAATTATTAAGTATTTTCATCAGTTAATTGCTTGTCATTTTCAAATGTATGCTGGTTCCAGCTCCTCAAATTTGAGCATTTACTGCATTTGTATCTATTAATAAAAGTCCAGATATATATATATATATAGAACACAATCAATGTATCAACAAAAATTATCTGCAGAAACACTTATTTTAAATGCAACACTAATAAAGACTCCGGGGCTAGTAAAATACCCTACCAAATACATCATTGTATATCGGCTATGCTACATATCTTATTGTATTGGTATCTCATATTGAAAGAAAAGAACACAATAGTAAATTCGACAAAGAAAACTCTTTTATGTTTTCTTGTGAGTAATTGCCTTTGTGTCATTTGGTTTGTGTAGTTATTTAAAGACTGAAGTATATTAGCATTTCAAAACAAACATGCACAGTGTACTATTGCAGTACTTCAAAGGTTTCAGTCTATTGTTCAATGCCTACATTTTTTAAAGCTTGATCCTCCCTTACACACCTGAAGATAATCATTTAATGACTTTGAAAGGAGGCGGACGCTAATACCAGGATTTGTTTGATGAGAATTGTCATCTGAGGAAAACAAAGGTTTTGGGATTTTGCAGTGTTATAGTTAATATTTTACGCAGCACAGTGGTGTCCTTCCTGTACAGAGTTTGCATATTCTCCTTAGTTTCTGTCCCAGTTGCCTCCTACATTTTAAAAATAGGGGTAAACTAGTTTCAGACTTTGAATTGCCCGAGGTGTGCTTCTGGAGCTATTTCAGCATGCAGTACCATTAATAATTAAATTACAATAGCTGTTATCAGCTGCTCGATCTCCTCTGTCCATAAAAGGCACACTTATGTTTCTTACAGTATGCACACAGACTGTTTGGTAGCACTGTGACTTCCACCTGTATAATGCATCATAAACATATGAGTCATACTCTCTATTTAATGCATTATAATGTGATAGAGTTACTCTTAAATGGTCATTGTTTGTGAAGAAAAAGTGAGAAAAAATAATAATGTATGCATGAACACACAAAACATTGTAAAATTATACTTTCGCTTTGCTTAAAGCAAACAGTTCATTCTAAAAGTAACTTATAACCACATTATAATGCATTATAACAGTGACTAACACATTATTACATTATTATAGTACATTCGACTAATGAGAATTATAGTAAATTATGATCTTTGTGATTTAAATGTATGATTCAAGTCTTTATAATTTGTTATTACTATTGTAATAATCATGAATATTTATAAAAGTGCTTGTAATTATAATTAAACAGCGCCATAAGCAGATTCTAATGCATTATAAGTTTGTAATGCATTATAGTCTAACAACCGCGACCAACTGTTTAGATACACTTAATGTTTTCCTTTTATAACACACTATAAACTATAAACACACTTAGTTTAGAGATAATAAATCGTTTTTAATTTGGAGATAAGATAACTGTGCTAGACCTATGATAAAAAGAATAAAAAGCTGTAGAGGATGGTCAGTTCACGTAATTTGTCATGATGTCATCTAAACTCATCTAACTGCAGACATGACAAAAGTGAAAGAATCCTCTTTAATCTGCTGTTTAACATTTAAAAACCTGTCTCGTGACTCTTTTGAACTCAACCTGAACTGTACCCCCCTCTGTGGATCACTCCGAGCACTACGCTCTGTGGTTGTGTTTCAGCATGTGAGCATAAATAAAACAAACCTCTTATCTCTCTGCCCTTGCAGTCAGGCAGATGTTGTGCCTTAAGGCAATAATATGTGCAGAGTATGTACTTTAAAACATGCATATGACATGTGTCAATTGCATAATGTACCTGTGTTTAATGAAAGAATGAGTGGTGTTATACAATGCCCCGATTATTGAACACATTCACCCTCAATGATTAAATGTGTCCCACGTCACTTTGCTGACCCAAATTACAGCTCCTTACACACACACACACACAGTTCTATTTTTAGTGGAATGGGTGTGCGTACTACATTTTAAATAGTCTGACTCTCCCCTCCACCAGTCCCAACACACACTCAGAGACACGTGGATCCTGTAACTTGCTAATGTGCTCAGTGTGATGGAAAACAAGCATCCAACTGCACAAATAATTTAAGACTATTGCATTTGGTGAGATGCTGCCGCCTGCATGTTTTATGCAACACTCCTAAAGTATATTCCTTCAGGGAGATGTTAAAGTGTCTTTTAGAGATCAGGCCCTGAGGCTCTCTGGTGGGTTTAATGGGAAATTACAGCGGTACAGCAGATTCAACACATGCAAATATAACTGCTGCAGCACTGCACACAAACATTTTGGAGCTCCATTAACATCACAATGGGAACAGACAACAGAGGAACATTACGTCAGCCTGCAGCATGACATTTGTCAGATTTGTATCTTGTGTGTGTGTGTGTGTGTGTGTGTGGTGCATTCACTGACCTAACAGAAACAGAAAACTCTCCAGGAGCTGATTCACTCTCCCTCACCAGGAACACTCCGGTGTCCTGCCAGCGGAGACGCTTTTCGGCCTCCAGTCTTGACACCCGTCCTACAAACCACCTACAAACACACACAGAGGTGTTAATTATACTCTGCTATTGGACTTTTATATAACAGTGAAGTCATTATTATATTTAGACTGGAATAAGCATGAGTAGAATTGGAATGAACAAATATACTCATATGTATATCAGTGGTTCCCAACTTCACCTCTTTTGGCCTTGAAAACAAAAATGAAGCAATCTGAGCAGGATAAATCACTATTTGGTAAAACACAAAGAGCATAACCTGTAGTGAGGAATCACAAATGTACAGTGCAACATTTCAAGGGGTTCAAGTAGAAGAAAAGTTTGGGAACCACTGATGATGATATTTAAAAGATGTATAACAAAATGTTTGCAAGTACATAAAGCAAGTGTTCTACTCTAAATTGTTTCAAATATATGGACAAAGTTGTTTTTTACGGATAATGAAGAAGGGAAATGTAGTTCTCTGGCACGTAGCCACGCTTCCCCTTGATCTCTGCTGTGACCCAGCTAGAATCATCCTCCATTTCTGTCACCTATAACACACATGCACAATTATTCTTCTTACTTTATGAACTAGCAACGCTTTGGTAACTTTCAAAGACTCCGAATGCATCAAAGTAAGCATTTACACACACACACACACACACACACTTACCTTGATAATGTCCCCTTTCTGGAAACTGATCTCGTCTGCTTCCGAAGCTTCGAAAGAGAAAAGAGCCACCGCCTCCATCCTGAAGAGAGGAGTCGGCAACGAAAATAGTTTCACTTCATGAATGAAGAGAGAGAATACAGCTGTGTGATTAGAGCACAGCAGCACTCCAAATATAGCAAGAGATCATCAGTGTGTGTGTGAGTGTGTGCAGCGCTGCTCATTAGTTAATGAGGAGAGTTTTCCCTGCGCGTGTGTGCCGCTCTTCCTCCATGTGACTGAGTTGGAGATGATGAACACGTGGAGGTGGAGACTGTCCTCTACATCTCCATCTCTTCTTTTTAAACTCTGGGGCTTTAATGAAGCATCTCCACGAGGGAAATCAGGGACAGTGGGAGGAAGACAAGAGAGAGGGGGGGGGGGGGGAGGATGAAAATAACCTGAAAGAAACAGCGATGACCTCCAGTGTTTATGATTATAACAAGTCTTTGCAAAGGTTAACCGAGCGCTTCCAGCTGATTCACACATCATTTTAATTATCAGCTGACATGAGGAAAACTGAAGCCTGTGAAGTGAGAAGGGGTCAATGATGTATCAATTAGATCTGCAATGATTGCTCACATTTTTTTTAATTGGTTAACCAACAGTATAAGTAATCATCAATTGATAATAATGGAGTATACATTTAAACGAAATGTCATGCCAAAAAGTGTCTTTTTTTTAACCCACTCATATTGAGATTTGCTGCTTTTCTAGGTTGTTTATAAATACACGACTAGATATTTTAGGGCTTCCGGACTGACAAATCAAAACGTGTGAAATCACCTTTACTTTGTAAGACATCTTTTCTGATATTTTATATTCCAAAATCCAAAAAGAATATATATTACATTTCATAATGATGCATATAATATAACTTGATTATTAATATGGATGCCAATGTGTCAATCACTCTATAGTTGCAGCATGTGGGAGTAATTTTATCAAATCTATATAATGGTAGGTAGCTTGATCTTCATCTATTTACCCGTCTGGACAACATCTCAAACCTGAACTGCTGATCAAAATATTTTGTGAACATTTCAATAAAAAAAATCTGTAATAATGAGAAAATGTCAAATATCAAATACAAACTGCTTTTTATTGAATCAAATGGATATATTGGTCATTGCAATTGTTTGTGGAATTCCCAAACGTGAACACATTTAAATTGCTCAGCCTCACATCACTATAGAAACAGGATACATATAACAATACAGTAATTAAAATAAGGGAAATCACTATTTTTCTAATGAAACCAACATATCACAACATCATCACTGACAAATGTACCCTGAGTTTGAGGGGTATCTTTGGATTGTTTGCAGAGGGGTTTTAGTAGGTGATGGTCGGCAAAGCAATTTACTGTTGTGGACTGGGGCAGCAGCAAAACTGATTTGAACCACCTAGAAAACGAATCAGTTGAAGTGCACGCTATGTTTGGATTAGTTTCATCCCATTACCTTGCTGTCAGACAGTTATTTCATGAGGAGACCTGAAGATGTTATCTAAGCTCTCTTCAAAGCCCAAAGACTACTTTGACACAAACAGTAATTTTACTCTGCACAACGCAGGGGATGATTAGTTAGTTTGTGTTACTGTGTGACCTTTGAGATTCCAAACCAACCAAAGTCACTGCTATTGATCTTTATAGGTGAGTAATACAATAAACAGTACCAGGGTGTGCTGATCACCATCTATCGACTGCAGATCCTAAAACCCCACCTTAAACAATCCAAACTATTGTGTAGATCATAATTGATAACAACACAACTTAAGGCAGTGTGTGTGTGTGTGTGTGTGTGTGTGTGTGTGTGTGTGTGTGTGTGTGTGTGTGTGTGTGTGTGTGTGTGTGTGTGTGTGTGTGTGTGTGTGTGTGTGTGTGTGTGTGTGTGTGTTAGTAGCAGTCTACTATGACCTCTTCCCCTGGTTTTGTGTGAGTGGCACTGGCCGTCAGTATGTCCTGCAGCAGAGAGAGGGGGGAGTTGTGGATGTGGTCGCTGCTTTGAGTCAGGACTTCCATCCTCTCGTCCAATCCCAGAGACCTCAACGCCTCACACACACTCACACACACACTGTCAGCTCCCTCCTCTGCTCCGTTGAGACCTCTCTGATCAGCGATGTCCTCCTCTTTGGCCTGATCGCTCTTCTTCATCTTCAGGATCTTTATAATCTCTCGCCCCCAGCCACAGCCTGGCAGTTCACAGGATACTGTTGCCATGGCAGCTGATGCATCCAGTGCCCCTAGCGACAGAGGACAGACTGTCTCTCTGAGTGTTATCAGCAGGCGACAGGCCTTCAGAGCTACAGGTCTATCGCAGTCAACCAGCCCACTCAACAGCACTGAGACGACTCCCTGCTCCACCACAACGGCCAAATCTGACTCAGCGCCCTCTGTGTGTGTGGCAGTGTGTGTGTGAAGTGTGTAGGCCTGCTCAGAAACTACACCATAAGCGTGTGGCGGGGCATGGTGGGAGTCTGAGCCCTTTTTGTAACCTGGGTGACCTGAAAAGGCTTCGTCCAACAGCAGCTCAGCCAGCACCAGCGTGTGAACTTTGACCTCCCAGTCCAGATCTGCCCTGCCTTGTGAGAGGACGGAGCGCACACTCTGCATCAGGAGAGAGGAGGAGGAAGATGGAGGAGAGTGTGAAGAGTACCATGAGATGAAGTATTGTACTACAGCCCTCCTGGGGAATCCCTCTGAGTCCTGGGAGAGGATTTCAAGCAACCGGCTCACTATTTCAGGCTGGAAGGACAGAAAATAGTTCCAATAAAAGTCAAACTTCTTAAAACATTGTGCCTATATTTGTAGGTATAAAGATACGATGTAAATGAACCCAGTTAAGTATGGTTATGAGTGTAAATACACTTTACAGAATGCAGACAGGAATACAGACAAACCTTTTAGACCCAAGTCAAGAAAATATATGTTTTAAAGGTCTAAATGTTGTGGTGTCCACTTTGTTATCATCTATAGTTGTTCATAGTAATATCTCTGATTAAAATATTTCATCCAGTTAAAGTAAATACTTATTAATGATCAAGGTCTAAAAAGTCTATTGTAAATATTTGTCTCAAAAGTGGATAAAGTCCATTTATGACAGCTTCTGGCAAACAACTAAAAGACTTGCGCACACACATGAGGAATACACCACCATGACAGGCAGCCAAATGAAATGGACCATTTAAATGTATTACAATGACAGATTCCTCTAGGTTGGACAATTATTGGATACATTTGGGATAATGTAAGCACACAACTCAACATATATCTAACATGGGTCTAGAATTAGCTGCAAATAACATTTTATACCAATCATTAGGAATCGGACCCAGCTGATAGAGGGACTTGATATGGTTTATTTCAACACAGAAAGTTCTTAGACTTTGTTCCAACTGTTTTTAGAGTGAAGCGTAAAACAATTTCTTCCTACCTCCTCCTCAGTGAGTGTCGCCCCCTGCTGCCAGCGGTGTGTAAGAGTCTTTGCCAGTGCAGAGATGGCGCTGGCCCTCACGTAACTCTCTGAGTCCTGCAGCGCCTCCCTCAGCAGGGGAGTGGTAAAGCAGCCGCCCAGCAGAGCCTCAGATGCGTCACACTCCTCTGCTGCTGCTTTAATGGAGTCACACACGCCTGCCAGGTGTCCCAGAAACTCCACCGTCGAGTCCTTCACCTCCCAACGCATGTCACACACACGCTTCTTCACTACCTCCACCAGATCTGAAAGTATCCATATATACATGGGTTTAATTTGAGTGACATATTATACTGCCACAGCAACAGTAGAGTGTATTCTGTGTGTGGATGCATCACACAGGAGAGTTTTTATGGTGACCTTTACCGTGTCTGAGCTGGTCTGTTATAAAGGAGAAGTCCGTGCACACACTTGTCCACTTTAATAAGGCCTGGTAGGACTTGTGGAGTACCTAAAAAACACAGACACAGTACTTGAATTGAAAGAATATTACATCAAATAGTAAAAAGGGAAGCAAAGAAATAAAAACAGTCAGTGAGTGATGGTGTCGCCTTCAAAGTCACGGCTCCCCAGTAGAAGAAGGTTGGAGACTAAATAAAATGAGTTATATTCAATGCAAATAGAAACACACAACTTACAGTGGGGTCAGAATCAGGGTTTTCCAAATATTGAATCAGAACGGTGAACACTTCGCTGATCCTCTCTTTCGCCCCTGAAATACACAGGATGGAGAATAAATGCAATTTCATCCTGAAAAACACTTTAGTTATGAATGGACAAACAATTATCCTAATGTACTGTAGCATTTGTTTTTGTCAGTGTATGACAATATCACATTTGGTTTCAGAATATTCAATAAAGAAAGAGAGCATTATTTCTATATAGGCAATCTCACATAAACACAGTGTTACCTGGGCTGCTGGTGAGAGTCGTCAGAGCCTCTAGAGCACATTTCTGAACTTTGCCACTGCCGATTACATTCCTGCTAACCTCACTGCAACCAGTGGAAGAGGAGGGTGAGTTGCCACTGCAAATCTTTAACAAGGACAGAACTGCAGTGACAATTGAAACTGGAAGACAGGGTAGGACGTCAGGAGGCTGAGGTAAAGTGAAAGAGAGAAAGGGAAATAAGTCAGCTACACGTAAAAAATACAGTCTCCTCTCCCCTGTTCTCTGTTGTCCTCACAGCCTCACCGTGAGTGTGATCTGTGGTGTGTTGCTCAGGCAGACACAGATTATAGAGATGCAGGAGGATTTGCTCTTTAGTTGTTCCACCACTGAAAACTGATGCTCGTCTGCTGCAAAAACCAAAATAGAATTAGTCAGAAAGATGTATGAAGGTGTATTATGGCCATTGAAGGTAAAAAAAAAAAGAGATATATCCAAGACTAGTGTACATTTCTGAGAACAAGAATCCTAATCCCTACAAAAATATGATTGGGTTTTTAGTCAAGGAACCACACTGCTTTTCACATTGGTTGGATCACACCAGAGACGCTACCATATGCCATGCTTTATGCCTTAATTTAGCAATAGGGAAATCATATTTTCAAGCCCAGAAACACCAAATTATCCTATTCTGACTTGCAAAAAATACATTAAGGATACACTCAGTCACGATATACATAAAATAACAAATTGTGTATTTTTTCATTGTTTTTCACTGTGTATATCTGCGTGTTTTACCAGTGCTTATTGTGCCCAGTAGAGTCTGACCAGTCATAATGTCGAGGGGGAGCAGTAGTATTCTCACGGCCCGGGCTGTGTGGACAGTATCACTGGGTAAAAGAAGAAATCAGCATCCATGGGTAAATACATCCTGTTACTCATAGATTACTTGATGTAAGAAAACAAACTGAGCTTGTACGGGTGACGGTGAAGTCACATCCTATATGAGAGTGTGAGGTCGTGCTCTGAACAGATGCTTACTGTTGACCTCTGCGAAGAAAAGCAGCTGCAGCATGTATGAGGTCAGCGGGTTTGTTAATGTTCAACATGGACGATAGAAGACGGGTGATACGTTCATCAGTGCCGGAGCTGCTGGAGACAAACATGAACATTGACAATTAACTCATTCATGCATTTGCTTTGCTTTTAGTCTGAAAAAAGCACTGTGTTGTCGTCCATATTATAAATCCCTTCTACCTGCATGCAGACAGAATGACGTCCATCAGAGGCAGTGTGAGCTCACTGCTGCCGGCTGTCACCAGTTCCTCTAGGGAGTCTCCGACTGTCTGCAGCAGCTTGTCCCGCAGAGGAGGTCCGGCCTGGGCCAGGAGCAGGGCCAGCAGTTTGAGGGTCTGCAGACTCTGACGGACATTTTTGCTTTCTTTGGGAACCAGAGACTCCTTGAGGTACCCAGAGATCGACTTTACAACAGCAGTATAGTCTGTGCTGCTTGGCGTCATCCCATCATCTTTTTCTTTTGTATCCACGCCTTTACATCCTGCAGGCGGGACTGGCTGAAAGAAGAGCAGGATGTGGGCGAGCATCTGATTGGCAGCTGCGGCAATAAATAGACTTGTGTCGGTCTGGAGTTGTAGAAGCGGGTCAATGAATTCTGGAGAGTGAGGAAAACAGATTTCAGTTATGAAATGGCTAAATTCTTAGTCTTTATTCCTAAATACACACACATTAGGAGACATAGGTAGGTTCGGTAATCATTCACTACCCTCTACATGCTAACCAGGGAGTTCTATGCAAAGGACTATATAGTGAGCTCTTGGGCAAAATAAAAAACACTTTTGGACACTCTGGTCTTTATCTTTGCGCTGTTAATAACGCCATTGCTGCACAATTAAAGCATGCCCGAACAAGGTTAGCCGGTGGAACCTCCATAATAAATACAGAGATGCATTTTGTGACAAGACACATGATTTTGTACTTTGACCATTTTTTCCTAAATGAATGGAACTCTTTATTATTCACTCAATTGGAAACTTGTCTTCAGTTTCACAGGCATATATTCACTTATAAAACTCCCTCTGCCAGGGGTTAGATTGCATGAGATAAATAAACAGATAAATAATAATTGGGTCAATGAGTCACCTGATTGTACAAAGAAGCTGAGAGCCTTCGGGTGCTGCAGCATGCTCCTCAAGCCCTGAATCCAGCCGATCCTTAAACACGGATCCTCCCAGAGTCCTGCTTCCTGCCAGTGCTGAAGGTTGAAGACCTCGTTCAGAACAGAGTGTTCCTGCAGAAGGGACATCACCAAAGTCAGACATTTTTTTAAATAATTTAGTTAAAGTACAAGGTGTCATAAACCCTACCTGAATGGTTTCGAAGCTTTCCTCAGTGGCAGCCAATAAGCCGGTGAGTCTGAGAGCGAAGGAGAGGACACCGGGGTCTGAAGCAGCGTTGTGAACCACAGTGGATATCAATTTAAGCAGACATGGGCAGGCCTCCAGCAGTGATCCCCCTTCATCGGGAGAAAAGGTAGACATTAGACAATGTACAGATATAATATCCATCCATCCACACCTGTGCCCCTCACTTATTGTGCATTTAATATGTAGTTTCAAAAAGTCAGCTGTTCACTCAATTGTCAAAGTCAACTGACAGGACATCAATTGACAATTTCAATAGTTTTACTCACATTCTAAGCAATAATCAAAACCATTTATGATTCCAGCATCTTATATCCAGTAATGTTATAATGTGCGTATAATATGATTTTATACTGAATAACTTTATGTTTTTGAGTGTTGGTAAGCTATTTGAATCTTGCTTTCAAGTCTTATTTAAGTATGGTGGAGTATGAGTAGCCTATATAATATATGGTGCTTTTGTGATATTCGCAAACAAGTGGAAAGTACCACAACAAACAACCAAAAGTATTTTTAGAGACGTTTGGACCCTCGGGGTTGCAGTCGCGTTGCCCAGCCTTATCGTGAAGTAGGGACACGTTTCTCCACTGTCTCCAATCACCCTAACACTTAGCTACAGACTAGAAGTAGTAAACCACGGAATGCATATTGAGATGTCAGACCTAATACATCAATGTGCAGAGAGAGGGGAAACCAGGAAAAAAAGAAGGCACGTATCATGACAGATTTCAGTACTAACCAGCCTCTGTAATCCCTGTGAACCAGTCCAGCAGTTTCTCCAGGCTGGTGTCATCGGGCAGAGAGCTCCCTGAGCCCGACAGCACCGCACATACACCGGGCAGCAGCAACGCACACTCTCTGTCCATGGTACTAACGTGTGTGTGTGTGTGTTAACTAATGATAATTCAGGATGCACTGAAACTTTACAGCTATATACTTACAATAAAGCATACATAGCTAACGTCGATTCACTTATCTGTAAATACAGCTAGAAACAAAGTTATGTAGTGGAAGTGTAACAGCTAGCTTAACAAAATGTAGTTTTCGCTTGTAGTTCTGCTAAACGTCCATCTCGCGGGAAATAGTTTCGGATCTACCGGCGTCTCTCTTCTGCCTGAGTAAAATGTGAGCCGCACTCTTTGCTAATCTATAAACATGTGGATGGATAAATTACATGCGCAGGCGCCACGTTCCGCCCTTCCATGTGTTTTACAGATCAGTTTTCCCCCCGCAGCTCGTCTTTACCCTCCGAACCAGTTCCGTTTCCGTCACATCGTCCATTTTTCGCATAACCGCACATGGTGCCGCACCGGCCGAGGACCGTCAGCCTCTTTTTTTGTGGGATTTTGCTCCGTTAAGGACGAGAAATCAGTCTCGTAGTAAGCCGATAAATGCAAGATACTGTCGATATGGTGGACGACCAGGAGTATGATGAGGAGGAGCCCTCATTCAGCGACCCGGAGGACTATGAGGAAGAAATGGAAGATGAGGGTGAGCAGCGGCAGGATACGCGCCGGCTTTCCGGCCTGTTGCTAACTGTTAGCTTAGAGTCGTAGTAACGGTACTAGCTATATATGCTAATAAGATAGCTGGCATCTTACTTCGCTTTCCCGACCGTAATGTTAATTAAACAATGTGGTCTGATTACGAGGATTGAAATGTTCATGTGTTTCTTTAAAGTATTCCTAAAATAATCTAACGTTAATCGACGTTATCTCAGATTAAATCCACGCCTATTGAAGCCTCAACCAGACACTGGCCTTTTAGCATTTAGACAATTGAAACGGGGTTAAAGCAGTCTATTGTTAAACATTTTCTTTCTGCTGTCTGGATGTGTTATTAAGGCCAAGACATGTATTGCGATGTTGAAGTATGGTGATGTTGAAGTATGGTTTGAATGAAGCAGCTGGTGATAAAGTGCAGTTGATCCTGACGCAGGGTGGATATGAGATAGGAGCCCCTCAGGTCCACAAATGAAACATCAGCAAAATTAATAACATCACACTCGGGTGTCAGCTTCTAAGGTAACATAGCTATATTGAATAACGTTTATTAAAACAGCCCTGCACGAACATTTCTATATGTGAAGTACATAATGTTCATTTGGTATTCACACGCTTATGGAAAGGTTTTGGTCAACTTAATTTGAAATCTGTTTGTTTGTGGTGCTGTTGAATTGCATATAATTGACTTATTTTGTTTTTATTATTTTGTCAAACGCATTTATATCATGTGTGTAGATTATTATTATTACACACACCTCTAATGCAATACAATTTAAAAAGCAACATCAACTAAAGCCTCACCACCATAAATAAGGATTCATATCTCTCCAATATATGATTGCATTAGCTTGAGTTAGGTTTACCGAATACATTTGTTCTCTATATTTTTCAAGCCAAGAACCCCTTACAAGATAGAGAATTCACCAGGGACCCTCTGATGTATTTCCCTTGGAATTATTTGATCTAGCCCTTCTTTACACTTCTAGAGTCTATTGTTAAATAAACAACATTTTAGATGAAAAGTTATGTAAGAAAATATTATTATTTGAAATATGAATGCCGTTGGAAAAGATGTCATCCTACTTTATGTGAATTATTGTGAAAACCCTTTACCGACAGTTAGCGCAATAAATATTAATATCTGAATTGTAATCTAATAAAATGTAGCCGGTGGTCTCATTGTCAATTTAATTTGGGGCATGAAAATATGTGATAGCCCGGTCTAACACAGACTACTAAAGTAAGTGGCTAACGTTACTGTTTCCCTCCCTTTCCTTCCCTCCTCTTCTCCTCTTCAGAGCTCATGGAGGACATCCTGAAGGAGAAGCCCCTTGAGGCTGACGGCATAGACTCGGTGGTGGTGGTGGACAACGTCCCACAGGTCGGCGCGGAGCGTTTGGAGAAACTCAAGAACGTCATTCACAAGATTTTCTCCAAGTTCGGCAAGATCGCCGCTGAGTTCTATCCAGAGGGTGATGGCTTAACCAAAGGGTAAGTGGTTTGCTGTTACTGTGGCATCAGAGTATATATTTACTTTACTGTTGAATGTAGGATATTAAACAGTCCCATATCTCCCCCAGGTACATCTTCTTGGAGTATACCGGTCCTACCCAGGCCCTCGAAGCTGTAAAAAACGCAGATGGATACAAACTCGACAAACAGCATACATTCAGGGTTAACCTCTTTACTGACTTTGACAAGTAAGTGTGCAGTGTGTGATAAGAATTGCAGAAAATGTGACGGTGTGTGTATATATGTGTTAATTATATCTGTTTGCTTATTTCTCTAGATACATGAACATCAGTGATGAGTGGGAAACTCCTGAAAAGCAGCCTTTCAAAGACTTTGTGAGTATTTATATTATCACAAACACTTCTTCTACTCTAAAGTCATTTATTTTATTGGCTTTTTTTTGACAAATCAAAGTGAGCTTTTTCCTCAAATATGTTATACTTTATTTTTCCAGTGAATATCAATAAAATAATTTGCCAAACTGTAATTCTTCTCAGGGTAATATGCGCCATTGGACTGAGGATCCAGACTGCCGGGACCAGTACAGTGTCATCTACGAAGCTGGAGAGAGGACTGCCATTTTCAATAACGACGCTAAGGAGCCAATCGTATCTGAAGAAAGAGCAGTACGTTTTAATCACACTTCAAAATGCAGCATTCACGGTGAACCTATTCAATTAAAATCAACAGTAGTGCTTTGCTTGGAGACTGATGATGTTTTTGTGTCTCGATGCAGCGCTGGACAGAGACGTATGTGCGCTGGTCTCCCAAAGGAACGTACCTGGCCACCTTCCACCAACGTGGCATTGCATTGTGGGGCGGCGAGAAGTTCAAGCAGATCCAGAGGTTCAGCCATCAGGGCGTGTCCCTGATCGACTTCTCACCATGTGAGAGGTAATCAATATTGCTGTTTAGCACTACTTATTGAATCATTGTTAGCGGTAGTCATTACCTGATGAAGTGCTTTTACTGTGTGTCTATAAGCGTTAGCCTCGAGTGTGAGAGAGTGATGGGAACTGATGCACCCATTAAGATTTAAGAATGTTGTTCTAATGAAGTTGTTTCAATGCAAATCTTAAACTAGAAAGTAACTCTGGAGGCCAACTGTCCAGTCTTCCATCATATGCAAACAAAACCACCACATTTGGAAATATTTCCAAAACTATAGAATCGTGTCAAATATGGTTAAGTTAAGGCCTTCTAAATTAGAATATCACATGTACATTGGTGAAAACAATTATTGATGCATTATGTATCTGACGGATTGATACAAATGTTGTAAGAAAAAAAATCATACAAGTTACTTCAAAATACTGAAGGTCCTGGTTCAAAAGTATTAAATAAATCTGCTTAAATTATTAAAGGTGGGGTAGGTAAGTTTGAGAAACCGGCTCGAGATACACTTTTTGTTATATTCCATGGAATGCTCTTAACATCCCGATAGCAATGAATATCTTGAGTGCTTTGACAAAAAATCCATTAAAGAATGTCATCTGTGGAAGCCGTAATACTGTAAAAAGCACGACCAATCATTTTAGCCGGCCCGGCTAGGAGGGGCTCAGAAGTGGCAGATTTTTTCCGGCTGTGTATTTTCAAATTCTAGCGCACTCGAGCTGGTTTCTCCAAAATTACCTACCCCACCTTTAAGTATGATTGATGACTAATGTTAGATGAACGGCATTATTTCTGAATCGTCTGAGGCTCAATGTGTGTTTGTGTGCAGGTATGTGGTGACCTTCAGTCCACTCATGGACACCAAGGAGGACCCGCAGGCCATCATCATCTGGGACATCCTGACCGGACAGAAGAAGAGAGGCTTCCACTGCGAGAGCTCTGCACACTGGCCCATATTCAAGTCAGTTGGCTCTCTCTTTGTCCACATTTATTTAACCTCAATGTTGGATTCATATTTGTTTCTTGAGCAGTGTTTTCAATATGTTATAATGCTAATGTTTTTGTTCAGATGGAGCCACGATGGAAAGTTCTTTGCCAGGATGACCCTAGACACACTGAGCATCTATGAGGCTCCAGTAAGTACATTTAATATAAATAATACGGTTTTATTTATTTATGTTAAGTCTGCAAGAGACATTAAAGCCATGTTTCTGCTCCTTTCAGTCTATGGGCTTGCTCGACAAGAAGAGTCTCAAGATTACCGGCATCAAGTAAGTATCTTTGATCATGCCTTTTATGATTTGTTTGTCAGCTTTCTATATAGAAATGTTGATATTAATCTGTGTGTTTGTGTATCTACAGGGACTTCTCATGGTCTCCCGGTGACAACATTATAGCTTTCTGGGTCCCTGAGGACAAAGATATCCCGGCCAGGGTGACTCTGATGCAGATGCCTACCCGCCAGGAGATCCGTGTCCGCAATCTCTTCAATGTTGTCGACTGCAAACTGCACTGGCAGAGAAACGGAGACTACCTGTGTGTGAAGGTGGACAGGACTCCTAAAGGAACCCCGGTAAGTAAACAGCCGGAGAGAAGAAGGAGAAACAACTGAGACCTCACTGGTTGGGAGAATTATTTTTTTAACATTTATTTCATCTTTTTCAGGGCGTGGTCACCAACTTTGAAATCTTCCGCATGAGAGAGAAGCAGGTTCCTGTTGATGTGGTGGAGATGAAGGGTAAGAGTTTAGTTATCCTACCTAATATTACTGTTGTGTTAATTGCTAATTTTGCTTTGTTTATTTATTGTATAAAAGAAATCATCAATGTGTACCTTAATGCTTTTGGAAAATTGTTGTAGAAACGTTTAGGCCAATATAGCCTTTGAAAGTAATTCAGTTAGAATTAAAGAAGTGTTTTCTAATTAATTTTCCTGTACAACCGTGTTTAATTGTTTCTTGTGTTTCTGTCCATCCAGAGGGCATCATAGCGTTTGCATGGGAACCCAACGGCAGCAAGTTCGCTGTTCTCCACGGAGAGCCTCCCAGGATCAACGTCTCCTTCTATCATGTCAAGAACAACGGCAAGATCGAGCTCATAAGTGAGTATATAGGGCACATGCTAAATGTCCTATTGACATCATGTTTCACAGTCTCATGTGCAGTTAACCTCCACCAAATGTGACAATTTGTCCTTTTTGTCTACAGAGACGTACGACAAGCAGCAGGCCAACAGCATCTTCTGGAGCCCCCAGGGACAGTTTTTGGTGCTGGCCGGACTCAGGAGGTCAGTGAAAGTTGTGTGTTTGCATTTGTGTGATTGACAGAAACAAGTAGCCACTGATGACATAATAAATAACTTTTCTGACACCTCGTATGAGAGCTAAGCTCCTGATTCTAACTCTGATCTGAGGCTCACAGTATTTTATATATGCACTTGTGACTGTCCTCCTGTGTAACTGTGTGTATAATCTTTTATTTGTTCCTGTGTCTGCGCGCGCAGTATGAATGGAGCTCTGACCTTCGTGGACACGTCAGACTGCACCATGATGAACATAGCAGAGCACTACATGGCCTCCGACGTAGAGTGGGACCCCACCGGGCGCTATGTCGTCACCTCCGTCTCCTGGTGGAGCCACAAGGTACGTGCCGCTCTGTGGATGCTTGATGCTCCTTTCCTTCCAGACCTGAATTCACTGTTGATGTGTGTGAATTAATAATGAGCCTTTATTCATATATTTGTTCGTGTGTGTCTAGGTGGACAATGCATACTGGCTGTGGACGTTCCAGGGCCGTCTTCTTCAGAAGAACAGCAAGGACCGCTTCTGCCAACTGCTCTGGAGATCCAGACCTACTACTCTGCTCGGTGTGGAACAGGCCAAGGTACCATTTAAAATGAATATATATATGTATAGACTGTGTATGTGTTTGTGTAGCCAGTGATGACAGACTAAAATACTTTTCTGACACCTCGTATGAGAGCTGCACTGCGGCTCCTGATTCCAACTCTGATCTGAGGCTCACAACATCCTGTGTACCAGTGCAACACAAACTCCATTTTATATTTGTCGTATGTTTTTATTTGTGACTGTGGAAGCTTCTTGTAAAATGGATGTCCCTCTTTCTCTTGTAGACCATCAAGAAGGATCTGAAGAAATACTCCAAGATCTTTGAGCAGAAGGATCGTCTGAGTCAGTCCAAGGCTTCTAAGGTTCGACTAATTCCTTTATTTAACTGTTTCACTCTGTTCACATCAATATCTTACCTTTTTTTAATTACTATTTGGGCCATTTCAGTATTTTCTCCTTTGCTTTATTAACCACTTTGTTAACAAATATTATAATGAAATTGTGGGATTTAAAATGTTTCCATCATGAAGAGATTTTAATGCTCTCAAAATCACCATTTAGTAAAATGTAAGTTTTCATACTAGAGCCATCAAGGCAGGGCAACATTATTCATATAGCACATTTCGTAAATCAAAGTGGTTTACACAATAATAAAAATGCAGGTAAGATAGAAGATTAACAAGAGACGACAAAGCTTCGCCATCCAGTTATTCAGAACAACTTATTGAGCATGTTTCCAACCCCGGATATTGTTCTGTTTTATGAAACTGAATGTTTAATGTGTTTGTGAGTAGGAGCTGGTGGACAAGCGCAGGTCCATGATGGAGGACTACCGTCGCTTCAGAGAGACAGCGCAGCAGACCTATCAGGATCAGAAGGAGGCCCGGCTCGAGCTCAGAGGAGGTGGGACCCTTTTCTCACATTTTGTACCCCTCTCTCTCACATGTTGTTCCCTCCCTTCACAGTTTTTAACTTGGATTAAGAAAACTAATGACTAATTCCTGTGTTACAGGAGTGGAAACTGATGAGCTGGACAGCAATGTGGAAGACTGGGAGGAGGAGACCATTGAGTTTTTTATCAACGAAGAAATCATTCCCTTTGGAGATCTGTAGTCCCCTACGCAGGTAACCATCAAAGTTGGATATTGCCAACAAACAGTTCACATTTATTCAAACATTTCCAAAGTGTGTAATTGTATAGCTTCCAGTGAGTGGTTTGTCTTGTCCGCATTTTTAATAACTGTTAAATGGTCATATTACATAAATTAGAATTAGATTTTTTGTTTTATATTCTAATATTTTAAATTATGTATTCAAGAATGTGATGCTCAAAACAGTGAAAAGCTGCTTCAAAACTCAACAACAAAAATGTTGTAAAAACGCCCACTTAATTTTGTGTAACCAAAAGTATCCTTCAAAAGCTTCTAAATCTCATTCTTGAATGAAAAAAGGCTGATTTCTGTTATCTGCCAACTCATTTAGTCTTTGTCTAGTTTCTGAATTAATATTACGAAAGTTGCTCTTGTTCTTTGTACTCGAAGAACAAGAGCAACTTTTATTCATCAAGTTCCTGCTGAATTCCTGCGTCACAAAGATGAGCGAGTCGGAACACAACAGCAACAAAGTGCAGCCAGTTTCCATTGAATAGATGGACTATGAAAACTGTGGAGAGCATGTTCTCTGGATCAGTGATGGGGGGCTGTTTCACTGAGAGCCATTGTTGTTGAGATTTACAGCAGCATTTTCTGTGTTTTTAGCAGCACAACCTAGAATACAGTCATCTCCATTGTATTAGGAAGTAGCAGAAATATTCAACATTTGCACAATGAATTCAGCCTTTTAAGGTGTTCATACGAAACCCGGGGATCATGTATTTTTCAAATGTGTTATTTCCATGCCTGAAAAGATACTTGGAACAAAACTGAAAATGTCACAACGTCATGATTTTTTTTTTTTGTCACCAATGTTTCTATTTATTTATTACGTTTAATTATATTTGGGATATATATATATATATATATATATATATATATATATATATATATATATATATATATATATATATATATATATATATACTTCGACTTTATTTCTGTGTTCCAATTTGGGATTGGAACACAGAAATAAAGTCGAAGTTCAGTACACATAGTTATTTCCCCATAAACCTAAATATTAGTCATATTGTCCATTTGTGGTGCCAGCTCTCTTGAATAACCATGCTATTAAGACCTTGAACATATTTGCTCATCAAAATTCAGGGGGAAAGTCATGAAATACATTGACTCAAATGTGTAAGAACCATGCTTTGAGAGCAACAACTACGTACTATTCTCCCTTAACAGTTTTATGTAAACAACTAATGCACCCTGATTTATCTTGTTTTTCTCTCTCAGTTCCGATTTTGTGTGGAAGGAGGAGAGGAACTGCGTCATTGATTGGAGAAGGACGAGGACCACGCTGTGAATAATTGGGGTTCACGAGCCTCAACGTTCATCTTTAGTGACATCATCAAAGCACGTCACATAGAGGGACAAGAGAGGATACTTTGTATTTCAAAATGTTCCCATTGACTCTCACCATCATCCGCCCACTTTTTTTCGCTCTGTGGATCCTGAAATTTAGTAAAACTGCCTGCTTCTTTTTCTATTCATTAATTGGAGTCACCTGCCCTCTATTCTCAGCCCCTCTCTTATTGGACCGTCTTTTTCCAGGGGTTGTTTTAGGAACTAGCTTCACCATCCTAGTGTGTTATCACAGGGCAGCACAGAGTGGCATAACAGTGGGGGGCGAAGGTGTTGTGACAAAACAAGTAGCCTTCTTTATAAACGTGCTGATGTGGCGCTATAGTGGCCTGTATCCTCCTCCTTTCAGACTAGGTTTTCACACAGGGAGGTGGTGCGAAGTGGGAATAACTTTAAATAAACATTCAAACAGAAGATACCTGAATTTGTCTAAGTGTTTGGTTTTTTATTTGTAAATGGGAGCATCTGAATCTAGTGCTGTTCAGACCAGCCGGAGCAACAGGACAGAAAACTACCAACATATTTAATAATCAATGTATCATTCTAGTAATTATCTAGAGCTCCAACAACTGGATGGATACAACAATTATTCTAAAATGGCAGCATCTCAACTATGGGGATTTCCTGCTTTCCTATGTTTTATATCCCCTTATCTGAATGTTTGGTGTTTGAACTGACAATACAAGATGTTTCCAGCTATGAGAAACTTGGATGGCCATTTCTTTCACAGTTTTCTCACATTTTATTCACCAAACATTTAATCTAATAAAAAAATCTACGGATTAATTGATTATAAATAGTGTTTATTTGAAGCCTTAGATTATTTGGAGTTGGAATACATTCAATATAAGAGCTATATTAAAAAGAAAAAAAACGTTTTCTTGGTAGAAGTCAAGCTATAGCTGCTGGCATAATTTCTGTCGTCTATACACAACCATTGGTAAATGTACTGGGCATGTATATAATGCAATGCTTATTACAAAAACTACTGCTGTAGCCTTTAAATCTCCTTTTTTAAGCTTTTGTTCTGTCATTCACTTGTCTTCAGTTCATAAAATGAGATGAGTATAAACCTTATTGTTTGTAAGAAAAATCTCATTTCGTAAACTGATAAGTCTTCTCAGAATCTGCTGTTTTTAAAGCGCATCCTAAAACTGAGTTGCCTCCAGAGGTCACTGCGTCAGAGGTTTAAATAAACCATTGACTGATCCCTTAAGCTGTCACTAAAATGTACTTCAGATGATATAAATATGTCTATCTCTCACTATAGTTCAAAAATATTTGTAAGTCAAAGTCACACAATGCTTCACATTGAATGCATTTTGTGGTCCTGGAAGATGCAGCAGAGATCATAGGTTGTCCATTCTTCTGGACAGCTGGCCTCTCATTAAGCTGAAAGTGTTCCTCGTGCATGTATGAAGCCATCCCTTCCATGACTGACGAGTCATTGAATCTGCTATGGGAAGGTAAAATAAGTATAGTTTATTTTGTGAGATAAATACACTGTTCTGAGATTTTGGATAGGTTAACTGTTGCTTGTCAAATGGCTTAATTTGTGTCACTGTTCTGAAGACAAACCAATCCTGCAGCATACAGACAGCAGTTGGTTCTCCATGTGCCAACAGCTTTAAGGTTCATTACTCATCCACAGGTCTAATGTTTGGTTCCACTTTAAGTATTGACTCTATAGCTGCAGGGATCTTTCACCTCATTAACCTAACAGCTTAATGCATGTACAGATGTTCACTGGGATGTTTGTCTCAGTGAACAGAACAGTCGACTTGAACTAATCTGACAGGTAGGAACTCAGTGTAAAAGTAACACCCACAAATGTACCTTAACATCTGAAAATGTTGCAATCTTTTATTTAACTTAAAAAAACATTTGAATTAAGTTATTTGCTATATTTTGGTTTGCACAAGCTGTGGAAGAAGTACTCAGATCCTTAACTGAATCTGATTCAAAGCAGTGGTGGACATTAACTAAGTACATTACTATACTATACTTACTGTCAGGGAATAATTTCCCCTGCATGTCATCTTTCGCTCTGACGCAGATGCCCAGCCTTGGGCAGCCGCTATCTCCCTTAAGGAGGGGCTGCCCTAGCATTTTGTTGTTGTTACCAGTTTATGACCAGGCAACTCTCGGTTAGAGATAGTTATTGTTATGGGACACCTGGAACACATCCTTCTCCGGGTGTAGATGACCCCGAGCTATAAGCGACAACAAATGTGATTCAGTGTCCCTCAGCCCGTTTAGTCTAGCTATTGAAGAATGTTGATTATTACACTCTGAACTAGGTAAAACGTCGAACTACAGAAACGGTCTTCAAAATGTATTTGGCATCTCTACCGTGTGGTCAGACCGTGGCCCTATGACTTGTCTTGTGAATTCTCCGGCCGAAGCACCAAATAAACCGTCAGTGTTTGCCATCAAAGCTCCAGCTCTCCTCGTGTCTCTCTGAGTCCTGTTTCCAATTGCTTCAGAAGTCTCCCCCACACTTACTATACTTCAGTTCAATTATAAGGTCCCTGTACTTTGGTATTTTCTTTTCCTGCTTCTTATACTACTTCTCCACTACAATTCAGAGATCAATAGTGTACTTTTAATTCCACAATATTAACTTACTTTGCATAAACAAGCAGTCTAAACAGTACTTAAATTAGGCCATTGTTTACCAGCTATACAACAAACATATAAATGCACCAATAATTACAATATTTTTGTATATATTATTCTGAAATTGGCCGCTCTGCATAATGAGTACTTTTAATTTGTTGTACTCCAAAAATATATTTTAATGCTTATACTTTTGTAATTGTACTTACTTATTATGAATGCAGGATAGTAGGATAGTTATTCTGTTATATGCTGTAAGAAAACATTTTGGTTTATGTAGAATGTCACTTTAAGAGACAAACAATTATAGTAAAGTAAACTGGACAATATTTCTTCTGGGAACAAACTGTAAATCTGAGAAGGTTGTGGCACCATCCAAGATATTTTACTTTCTGGGGGAAATGCCATCTCTGACTTTTTTAGTAACGGGATCTGTGTGTTCTTAACTTTCAGTCGACAGCCGCCTCGTGCTTCTGATGTGGAGACAGCAGCCAACCCATAATTTCCCCTTCAGTTCACAGATGTTATAAATACTGAGAGACAGCTCTTCATTTAATCATGGGTTATTCCATGTTTTATGACTTGCAAAATAAGTCCAGAAAAGTAGAGAGCATTTACACATAATCTTCCAGGTAAATAGATACACATGTTCAGTGTGATGAAAGTCAGTACAATAGCTCTGGAATAGCCTAAATATCCCATTATGTTCTAATTTTGCTTATTGGTTATTTTGTGCTTTGATACAACTTTATTTATTCAGATCTGATGAAGAGCAGTTGTGATTGAAACATCAGATTGGAGCCCTGCAGTGTGTAAGCCATTTACTCTTTGTCCATTGTCTGCTCACCTTCTGCTTATCACCTGTCCCATTAGAGTTGAACATACGTGTATCATCTTACAACGTCCTTGTTGTAAGATGATATCAACTGAGTACCTGAAGTTCACAACAATTACAAAGAAGTAGACTGTTGCAATCCTGGATCTATAGGCTCCCCCCAACAATGCTCATTAAATGTGTATTTTTTTAAATACAAATAAAAATGAATAAAAAAAAGCCAAAGGAACTATAGCATAAAATAGAGCTAAAATACATAAATAATATACAAGAAAATTGATATGAGCTACATTTGTGGTAGACAATATTAATGAATAAACAGAGTGTATGCATATAGTAAATATCTATGCAAAACAAGAAGTATTTTACTGAGGCATATATGTAAATAGTAAGTCTTGATTTAGTCTATAATTGGCAAATTCGGATTTAGTAGGCTATATTTTGTAATTTTGACATTTATATGATAAAAACGTCTCATTATTTGGCTAACCATGAGCAGGCTATTAAATAATACTATTTTTTGTATATTTTTGGCGCCTTTATGAGGCCTCCCGAGGGTCCCAGGACCTTACTTTGACTGCCATAGGCGTAGGCGGGTTTATGGTTTCATAGCCTAAATCCGGACAGCATGTGTTTTGAACTGGAGTGTGTGGCTGGATGTTCTTCAAATAACGCGAGATTTGGCTTCGGTCTGTGTAGAGAGCAGACCGCCACAGTCCTGTCTGTGGAGCCCACCCGGTCTCATCCACCGGACAGACGGACAGAGAGAGGGACACCGAGCAGCGACAAAGGGCTGACCGACCATGGAGCTCATCTGCCGGGTAAGAAAACACCCTATATTCAGGTCACTTGCAGTATTTATTCTCAGACAGATTCATGTGCAGACTCGTTTAATTGTCGCCGTGATGCTCCCGGTGTGAAGGGCATAAAGGGAACAGAACCGGGCTGTTCGTGCACCTCAAAGGCTGCGTGATGAGGCTGTTTGTGTGGGGACTGGGGAGGAAGCGGAGGAGACTGTGGAGGAAAAACAAATTCATATATTCTGTCCTCGGCTGTTGCATGTGGACTAACAGGAAAGTGTGCGTTTGCATGAGAGAGGTACATTGTCCGCAACGGCCGGTGAAAGGGCACATTGTAACATGTGTAGGCTACTGTATAAATTAGGTTTTTTTCCGACCGAGGTCTAGGAGGAGGTGATGGTGGGTCCTGTGCGAAATAGAAAAATATTAACTCAATTAAAGCAGTGTCTGCCTTCCTTCATGAATAGCACACGTAAAAAAACAGCACAAGTAGAACCCGAGTAGTGTTATAACTTGTGCATACTTGGCACTGAGGTCAACCGACACTGGAGTCCACTTACATTATTGTTGTTCCTTTTTTATTTTGCGTGTGTTTGTTCGCACGTGTTTAAAAAAACAGCGCATGCCAAGCCACGAGAGTGTTTGTAGATGTTGATTTCTCAAAATAGGCCCCTCCAGTCAACGTGGAGTTTAAATTGAAAACTAAGTGGAAAGAAAAACCGCAAAAAAAACTATAATTTTCTAAAAATATGAGCCTTTCTCTATCATCTCCCCCTGTCTGGGTGGTATTCTGCTTTTATTAGGACCCTCGTTTTTTCCACTGTTTTCCCTGACAGCAGATGTTTTTATGGGACAATAAGGGGAGTAAATCCTCCACGGGCACTGGACTGAAGAGCCTCCACCCCCACACGGTTGTTCACATCTCCGTGACAGCTGAGCGCCCCGGGCGGAGCCTGAGGTTCCCACGGCCCCTGGGCAAATTCACACCGGTCAAAAAAATTGTTTTTGTGGCACATACTTGAAAAATATTCGCTTAAAGATTATACCCAAAGGCCATCACACTTTGATGTTATACTGTAGACTACGTTCAACTTTTTACATGGTTTAGATAATTAGAAATAACTCTAATGTAACTATATTTATAATAGTTTATATATGATTTATCTCTGAAATTAAGTTGTAGTATAGAGTAGCATACTACACATTAAGAACTTGCTAAATGTACTTGGTTGTATTTCACCACGAGTGAACCCCCAGTATGTGTTTCGTGTTGTGTTTCATTTTCGAAGAATAAATCAGTTGTCACACTTCTTCTAGAAATTCCAGTTCTTGTATTTTGACTTGCTTCATCATTTTACCTCATTAGGGCTGTAAAAGCAGAAAAGGGGTCTAAGTTACATTTTCTGTCTCTTTTTTGGTTGCAGCTGGCAAGCAGGAAGTGTGTCCTTCCGCGATAGGCCGCCACCATGGAGCTGAGATAACCTCTTCCTCTTTTCTGCACCAATCACTGCGCCCGATCAAATATAACCATGGGAACATGGCGTGGACTACGAGTGGCGTTTGTCCTGGGGTCTTTGTTTATGATCCTGCTGATAATCGTGTACTGGGACGACGTCGGGGGCTTCAACCTCTACCCCCTACAGGAGCCCAAACACGAGTCACTGCACCCTCGGGCGACTGCTGGGTCCCCGCACTCTACGTCCAGACCCCAGAACAGTTCTTCCTCCCCCGTCCCCACTACTGCTCGCAGCACAACACTGGTGTCTGAGGAGACAGGAGGAGCAGCTGAGGAGCATACAGAGGAGGAGGGGAAGGAAAAACAAGAACAGAGACAGCAGGAAACAAGGGAGGATGAGGAGAAGGAAAGGAGTCGTACTACTGCGGACAATAGGGAGCAGGAGGACAGGAAGCAGAGGATCATGGATGTGTGTTCTGGGAAAGACGCTGTTGAATTCCCCGGAAGTACCCGGCCGTTTGAGCAGATCCCAAACAGGGAGCTGGATCACCTGATAGTGGATGACACCCACCAGATTATCTACTGCTATGTTCCCAAGGTACAGCTGCCTTGTTTATGTGTGTCTATTTGTAGAAACGTGTAGGTTGTGAACACATGTGGGCGGTGATTTAACTGTGAGTGGATGTAAGAGTAAAATAAATAACATGAGGACAAGAAAATGTAAATCATAGTGAATGTTTACTGAAGCATTTTGCCACTGGTCAAAAGACACATTCACACAGGTTTACAGCTCCTCTTGTCTTTCTGAACACTTTTTATTTCCTTTTTCTTTTCTCCATCTTTATTCTGCGTTTAGGTGGCGTGCACCAACTGGAAGAGAGTGATGGTGGTCCTGTCTCAGTCTCTTATCTCGCCCTCCTCAGGAAAACCTTACACCGACCCGGAGGCTGTTCCTCCTGACCTCGTACACAACTCCTCTATCCACCTCACTTTTGCCAAGTATGACACACACACACACACACACACACACACACACACACACACACACACACACACACACACACACACACACACCGACACACACACACACACACACACACACACACACACACACACTAAACACACACACACACACACACACACACACACACACACACACACACACACCAAATATGTACACAAAGACAATTTAATAAAAGGTATTTTTATGTTATCCGCTAAATACATTTTATTTGTATAGGGATTAGCAAGAGCCACAGTCAGGAATATGGTAATATATCCAAATCCCTCTAATGCCACCTCCACCAAAATAATATATTTGTAATCCCTCCGTAGCCTAAATTATGTTTTTGAAATGTTTCTGCACATTGCACAGCCATAATTCTGAGTGGAGAATTACTAAATCTTCATTACTTGCTTTTATTAAATACATTTAATCTAAAAACAGAAGTAAGCCTCCATCTTAAAAACCTGCCATGTGGGATTTATGTGATTGCAGAATGACCTTGTTGACCTCTGGTACCAATCATACCTACTTTTAAATCTAATCTCCTATTTGCAACTGTTGCATCATAATAATCTCATTATTATTTATCAATTACAATCGAAAGACACCATAATCATTTATTCCATGAATGAGCTGCAGACTAGGTAAAACTCATGTGTTGCTTAGCTTTCATCAACATTTAAGCAAAAAAAGGGAAGGGGTACTTTAGTTTGAGGTGATGGCCTGCAGTATTAAAGAAGCATCAAGTGTTTGCAATAAATATATAAACAGTAACTTCTGTCATTAAGATCATAACTTTAAGGTGTATTCATTATATTTGAGCAAAGATGTTTGGCTATACCACACAAGGAATAATTCTACACAGAAACTTGTTGAATATTATACTGCACGACCAAGCAATGAATTTGGATAAAAGACGTGTTTTAAAGAAAACATTTAGCCCACACCAACAAAATCCCTACAAAAGAAACCAAGCCTGCACAATAATTTTTTTAACAACTCAGTATCGGAATCTCTTCCACAAGTCAATAAGGAAAACAGCGTGACTAAAAATGTGTCTTGACAAGAACTAAATGCCAGACAAACCACACACCTCAATGACAAACAGGAAAATAAACCATTTCATCTGGGTGTCAAACCAGAACGTTTACTGTATGATTTCTCACCTTGGTATTTTTTTCTCCACTTCCTTTTTAAAGCTGTGTTTTTCTCTGTGCACTGATATAAAAAACAAATCTTTTACCCCTCAAGGGCTCTTGTTATGGAATCATAGGATTTGCATAATAAAAAATCAGTAAAATAATGAGAAAAATATGAAAAAAATAAGAAAAAAGGCACAGTAAATAGAATAATCTATGTATCTATTGCATAAAACTAAAGCATTCAAATCACAACTCAACAAGGACGCCGCTGAAGATCTGCTCTCATGTTCCTGTTTGTGTCTTTTTCCAGGTTTTGGAGGCATTATGGTTCTTTGTCCCGCCACCTGATGGCACTCAAGCTCCAGCACTACACCAAGTTTCTGTTTGTGCGCGACCCTTTTGTTCGTCTTATCTCGGCTTTCAGGAACAAGTTTGGAAGGTGAGTGTCTAATACTGGATGGTTAGACAGAGTGGGTGTGTTACTGTGTAAGTGTTTGCGTTGTGGGTGAGGCTGAAGAATGGGCTTCACTTTTGATTAAACAGCAGTCGTACCTTTGTTGAATTGTGAAAAGTGTGTGTATTTGTGTGTGTGTTTTCAGGCCTAACGAGGACTTCTACAAGCAGTTTGGTTCTGTCATGCTGCGTCGTTATGCTAATGTGTCGGGCAGTTTGCCAGAGACAGCGGCGGAGGCGTTTGCAGCAGGAATCAAACCGACGTTTCAGCAGTTTATCACATACCTGCTGGATCCAGAGACAGAGAGGGAGAGCATCTTCAACGAACACTGGCGGCAGGTATTTATCTCACAGAGCAGTGTAAAGCCGCACTTAATGCAGCTTGGCATTATTCATGAGTTGATGTCCAATTCCCCTTTGGATGATCATATTTATGCTGTTTGGGATTTCTTTCAGCATACACATTTTAGTATGAGGCCTACTTTATTTTCTTCATAACATATGCCTCAGCTCGGTTAATGTAATTATTTACACACAAAAAAACATTCAATTCAAATCACACAAACATCAACAGAAGAGGCCAATAGCAAAACACAGATTAAGCAATATAGCAAAAACACTCTGCCAACATTTATTTAAAACTGTCCAGAAAGATGTGGAAGTCGAGTTTAAGTCTACCGTACTGGTAATTCCAAGACCAAGGGGCCGCTCGGTATGTCTCGGTCACATGTGGCAATTTAAGCCTCGCCAGGGGTATTGGTACTAACAAAGTCACTAACAGACCCAGAAATGAATGTCGTTTTCAAATTGTATGCCTGCTTTTTGTGTGTTCCAGGTGTACCGTCTGTGCCATCCATGCCAAGTCAAGTATGACTTCATTGGACGACTAGAATCCTTAGAAACGGACGCGGAGCACCTGCTGAAGCTTCTGGAGGTGGATCATCTACTACACTTCCCTTCAGGGGCTCGAAACCGAACTGCAGCCAGCTGGGAAAGAGACTGGTTTGCACAGATTCCCATCGCAATGAGGAGAGAACTGTACAAGCTGTATGAACCTGACTTTGAGCTGTTTGGCTATCCGAAACCTGACAGCACTCTCCACCAGTAGACAGCACCGAGAATCAACCACCTGCGCACAGCCAGCTAATGCCTTTAAAAATCAGTCTATGATGCTGTTCTTTTGTTTTTTTCATACCTCAAATGACAGAAGTGCCTGCCAGTATTATTTTATTTTTGTCATCATTTCATATCTGAAGCACACCTGTTTACAAGCTGCGTTATCACAGTCTGGTTTCTCCATGTAAAGGCACTTTGAATAGTATTTTGTGAATAGAATGTTGGTAAGTCATTGTAAAAGACTGGTGTCAATTATTGGCTTTCATCTCTCTGAAGGGAAATATGATGCAGAGAAATAAAGTTTTTTGTAACCGTTTGACATTCTCTTTTTAGATTTACGGTGTATGTGAAAGACGTATTCAGATCATTGACTTCAAGGGGTAGTTTGGGTGTTGTTAAAAAGGGTTGTATGAAGTACTTATCCATAGTTATATTACTTACATCAGATGGATGATAGAGCAAACTAAGCGATGGAAGCCGTGGTAGACCAGTAACCTCGTGTTCTGCAAAGTAAAATAGTTTTTTTTATTCTAAATAATTTTTGAATGGCGTCTGGCCCCATCAGAATAGGCTGACTGACGGCAAGGTTAATCATGTAGAGATATTGTTTTAGGTGGCCAAAAATACATTTGCTGATGCCCTTGTCAACAGCAGTACATTGTTTTGATTCTGTGCTGTCGGCTTCTCCAAACTTGAAAGATGCCCCGCGTTAATTATGGTAGATAATACACTGACTACGGATAGGTACCTTATTATACAACTCCACTTCCAAACTATCCCTTTTACTAAGGTACATACAGCAATTTACGATGTTAAAAACAATATTTTGCAGGGAAAGCTTCTCTACTCAAGTTTTTATTAAAACTCAAACTCAAAAGATCTTACAGTTTAAAAATGTTGTTTTAATATTTTTTTTGTATCACATTTCATTCACCAGTGCTCTTTATGTTCTCCCTCTGCTATTAATATAGCTATTGAGGAAGGCAGTGTAGCCAAAAATATTTGGGGTACAAGCAGGTGTGACCTGATTTTTGTGTATGCATGTATATATCTATTACAGGCCTGTTTAATACAGTGTATTGGGCATGGGCAGATGTCACATAAATAGTACTGTTACTTATGTTGGGTCTTTCATAACAATTTTACCCACTGATAGGGTCATTCTGCATCTTTAGCTCTAACAAAAATGTAGTGGAGTAAAAAGAAGGCCTACAATATTTGCCCATGAAGTAATCTAGGCGCTTTTTCAGGTGCTCAAAGACACTTTACAGTGGTGATAAAAAGGAAATATAAAGAATATAAAAAGTTGAATTGGATGGAAGTAGCAAAAGAAATTGAGCCTACAAGTACCTCAAATGTAAACAAGTTCACTTCTTGAGTAAATGTTCTTATTAACAGCCCACAGGTGCTGTAGGGAGTGTATAGAGTGAACAAACAATACCGCCTCCACTACTTTCTATTGCACAAAAAGCCGCTCTTGTTGCGTTGCAACTGTCCTGCTGTCCGTTTCCACGTGTTCCAGTCGTTTCTCAGGCCCCGCCCCTTCTGTACCAAACCTCTCCCCTCATTGGCTGGGACTCATGCCATTCCGTGCAGGGACACGATTGACCCGCCCCCTCTCAGCTTGACAGTACGCTCAAGACGTCACTGGTTCCGTCCCAACACGGAAATATGGAAAAGTGACAAGTGCATATTGTTATTATGGATTCAAAGCGGTGCTTCTAGCTCAGCTTTCACCGTTTGGACTACCAGAGCGATGTTAAAAGGCCGGTGTCGGTGCTAACTCATTTTGTGAGAGATGGACGCCTGCCGCGCTGGAAATGGAGAGAGAGTTCGACCTCTGTTGTTAGTTGAATAGCGTTTAGTCCTCGGTTTGTTCAGAGCCATGAAACAAAGTGTTGCGGGGGTCATGGGGGCTCTGGGACGACTGCTGCTGTCTCTCCTCCTGCTGTCCTGGGATGGCAAGCTATTTCAGGTATAAAGTTTCTACTGTGTATGGGTGTCACTTTTGTTGTTATTGTTGTTGTTGTTGTTTTCTTGTTAAATACTGTTCGGGCAGAAGAGACTGCAACTGCCAACCCACTGTCTATTTCAGGCTCGAGTAGAGTTGCCAGGATATGATGATTAGGCGTTAAGTCCAAAATGCTTGAAGAAAGTTAATACTGCCCGTGTGTGTGTGTGTGTGTGTGTGTGTGTGTGTGTGTGTGTGTGGTGTGTGTGTGTGTGTGTGTGTGTGTGTGTGTGTGTGTGTGTGTGTGTGTGTGTGTGTGTGTGTGTGTGTGTGTGTGTGTGTGTGTGTGTGTGTGTGTGTGTGTGCGCGCGCACGCCTGTGCGTGAGTGTGTGTTTGAAGTTGTTCATTATCATATGCACAGACATTTCAATTTTTGCTATTGAAAACCTTGGTTGGACCCTCCAACAATGGTCATTAAATATGTATGTGACGTAAAATATAGTTTGATATATTTGTGGCAGACAGTTATTCTATATATATATATTATATACTGTATATATACATACACAGAGATATCTTTGGGTAAAAATCATTAGTGACCTGGATATCAACATCTAATTGAGGCTTATTGTATAATATACTGTGTAATAATTTCACACGCTGAGTACAATATTTGAATTCTGAGCACCTGATGATTCATTGTTTGCAATTGTTTGCTTGTGTGTGCTGCTCCTTTTCTTTTCTTTTTTTTTTGTCGCCGGTTGCCATCCGCTGGTGGGTAAATATGGGAGTGGTGAACACACACGGTATAAAATAGTTCCCAGTATAGGATATAGTGTTGGAAGGAGGAGGGGTTATCAGGATATCCTGCTTAATGATAAACACAGTATGACTTTAATAGAGCACAAACTTACTGCAGGGCAGGAGTGCCAACCCCTGGCTGAGATGACACACACGCACACACCACGCACACACTCAAACACACACAGACACATGCTGTAGTCAAGCTGTGCTGGAATATCAGATATAGGACACGGTGACTGTCGGACCACTAGCTTAAAGTTTCTCTCTCTCTTCTCTTCCTGGCGGCCCATCAGGTTGGAGGGGTCAGATCAGTCACTCTCCCAGAATCCCTCCTGTTTGTCTCCACTCTGGACGGCAGTCTGCATGCTGTCTCCAAACAGTCCGGAGACATCAAGTGGACCCTCAGAGAAGGTTCATACACAAAAACATCAATACTGATTCATAGACATTTGTTTCTATTTTAAAATAAGGCTCATGAAATTGTCTTTTAATTTCTTTCAGACCCTATTATTCAAGTACCCGTCTACCTCACAGAGTGAGTAACACACATGTAAAGATGCCACCAATGCCTAGGAGCATTGAAGTCAATTTTCCCATTATTTTTTGTTCAGGCTTATACAGCTGTTTCTTTAAGATAAACATATTGATTGAGACAAAGGTCATGTAAAAGTATCCTGCTGAAAGAGGCAAGAGTAATTAAATATTTGAAATAATCAAAAGGCTGTATGAATGTTGTTTTTGTAGGCCCGGTTTTCTCCCAGACCCCAACGATGGCAGTTTGTATGTCCTGGGTGGCAAACACAAGGAAGGCCTGATGGTAAACCATGTAGCATGTTTATTTGTGTGTTTGTCTGTATTTGTGTATCATTTTATGACCCCTTTGTTTGGATGTACCTGCAGAAACTGCCTTTTACCATACCAGAACTGGTTCAGTCAGCTCCCTGCAGGAGCTCTGATGGTATCCTCTACACAGGTGAGACTGTGTGAGACAGTTGTCAGAGATGAGGAATGATAAGCACATAAATATTTTGAATACTTCAATGCTATTCGATAATGTGTGTGTGTGTATGTGTGCACTTGAAGGTAAAAAGCAGGATGTTTGGTTTGTGGTGGATCCTGAGACAGGCGAGAAGCAAACCAGTTTAACCACCTCCACCTCTGAATCCATCTGCCCCAACACTCCTCTGCTCTACATTGGACGCACAGGTATGTCTTGCACGAGAAATGCACACACACACACACAGCACAATTACGTCTGAGGTAATTTTATGCTCTCCTGACACTTTGTTTTTCTTCTCCAGAATACATGATAACCATGTTTGACACCAAGACACAGGAGCTGCGATGGAACGCTACGTACAATGATTACTCTGCTCCGCCTTACGATGAAAAACAGGACTACAGTACGTCTATCACACACACATTCAGTCATGCAGGGTTAATAAACAGTATAATTTCTCTGTGTCAATATGATGACAACCCTGCAGAACCTGCTTGTAGTATTTAACAGCAATATAAAACATGTAAACATGTCTAGAACAAGTGCATCTGAGAGGAATTACAGTGATATAGGTAATAACTGCACCTACTTGTGTTATGTTTGAGGAATACATTTAGTGGCAATGCTTAAGGTTTGATTTGGGTTGACTAGAGCTGCACAATTAATCAAAATGGTATCAAAATCGCAATATGGACTAGTGAATATTCAAACTGCAGTAAGCGCAATATTTGGTAGATTTATGAAAACATTCTGAATGAAGTAAGTACCATCCTACAATTGGTATTGAACAAAACCTTTTTTGTACAGATTGTACTAAAAATCACACCTTCATCATTTTATTTATATCACAATTACAGTATCTATAGTTAAAATAATCACAACTAGTTTTTTGCCAGAATATGCAGCCCTCTCATACTACAGTTCATAAAGTATATGAGAGTGCATGTAGTTAGTAGGCCGGCTGAGTATATACCTGCAGCTCTTCATCTCTCAGCTCAATGTGGCTGCACCTCATTGTTCTATTACTCCCACACACACATTTAAAACCATCTAAAAAAAGCAGAAAATGTCTAATAGAAATAAGAAATGTTGCTGCACTTTCTTCAGTAGGCCATAGCCCCAATCAAATCACAGAGTTTAAATGATTTTGCTGCCTTTTTGAACGTATTTGTTCTGTGTGTGCTTTCTCTTTTAATATTTACATTAAAAAAATAACCAATGTTCAAGATTGATTGAGGACTTTTTTCAGCTTCTCTAATACTAACTTATCCTACCTGTTTGACTCTTAGAGATGGCCCATCTTGTGTCGAGCGGTGATGGCCTCGTTGTGACAGTTGACAGAGAAACAGGTAGGGGGAGGTGTGTGGTTTTTACTAAGTGAATATTTGATCATCTTCTATATGTGTGAGAGGTTGATGTATTCCTCCATCTTCATCTCTACCTTCTCTCAAGTGTGTTTTTCTGTGTTTCAGGGGACGTCTTGTGGAGTCAGAATTACGGGTCTCCTGTAGTGGGGGTCTATCTGTACTCTGGTGACTCACTAAGACACGCCCCCCACCTGTCCCTCGCCATGGAAACGCTGCGCTTCCTCACCTTTTCCTCTGCAAACGACCAGGCAGACGCACACTCGACTCTGAAGTGGAGCTATCAGTTTGTGAAGGAGCAAGCCACGGCTCAAGCACAACTTGTGTAAGAGAAATTGTGTTATCAGGGTGTCCGCGGGGTCGTAAAAAGTATTAAAAGTTGATAAATCAATTCAGCGGAAATGAAGGCTATTAAAAAGTAGCCTATTAAAAAGTATTAAACGGCATTTTCCAAGGTATTACATGTAGCTTGTTTTCAATAAGTATATAAATTGTCCAAAGAGGTTGTATTCTACAGTTTGCCTGAATGTAATCATTGCGTAGGTGTGTAGTGTGATTCTGTGTAGTTTATTTATGGCATCCCGTTGGATTTGACGTCATCTGAACAGGACATCGCACGCTCACTGCTTGATAGCGCGCGAAGGTCCGTTTACGCCGGTTGTTAAACAACATCGTTATGGGGAAATGCAAGTTTGCGTCCAAATGGTTGGAAGATAAGGAGGAAGAACAATCAATGCTGTATATAGTAAATGTGAGGTAAAGTGTGTCGCCAATGTAACCGGTTAAAACTCAAAGTGGCGATGAGGTTTTAAAATGTATGGAAAGGGTCTTAAAAAAGGTCTTAAAAGGTATTACATTTGACTTCAGGATTCCTGCATATACCCTGGTTATACATGACAGTGAGAGAGCTTTCAGCAGCGATGTATCTGTCGGATCACATTATTTATTGAAGTGGTAACTAGAAAAACGCTCAGACTGCTCAAAGCTTTGCCAACACTTTTCCAATTTGCCTCTACAACAAAAGGCATTGTTCTAGTCACTCCAAGTAAGTGATGATTCACTGACACACACATTAAATAGACAAGGCAGAGCAAGAACTGCTGAGTCTGTTATATCCTCTGTTATATTATAATCCACACTTCCCATCTATTTAGTTCAGAGAAAGGGAAATAACTGTGTTAAAAAGCTTGCCTTCATTCTGTGTATCCCTTGGTTAGGTCTGCTCTGCCACTAGTAATGCAGCATGGAGTTCTAGTAGTGCGGTTCAATCTCCAGTAACTGCTGCTCTGATTTACAGCAGCTGTCAAACTGTCAGCTGGAGCTGTTGGAGGTGTCTGGTTATATCTTTTTAGGAACTCCTGCCAGCCAATCAGAAGCAACTGTTTTCTTTGGCTATATTGTAATGAAACATTTGGATTTCAAACTAATCTGTATGGCATTTTTGTTTCATTTGTCGCTAAAATGTGAAACACCATGGAGCATTTTTTTTTTTTTTTAGTTTATGCTCTGAAAATTAATTTTTTATAGGTGAAAAAATAGTATAACAAAAAAACAAGAAATCGATTGGTGTTAGATCAGAAAAACGTTATGACAAGTACACTTAAGTTAAACAGTTTATTTTTGAACAAGGAGGTTGAGATTGGTTGTTGTTTTGGACATGACAAGTATGATTAGGCAAGGTATGTTTAAGAGGTTTTTTTATTTTTTCCTTTTTTCAGTTTAATCTCTCCGCTCGAATAGCCAAGCCTTTGTCCGTATTATTTAATTTAATTTAATCATTCCCGCCTCTGGGCTAGGAAGGCAATATTTATTTCTTGTCGGGAATCCTATCAATATATACCATTTGATAACAATCCGTACATTTTCTAGGTTTTTCTAATATATAATCAATCATTTGAGAGAATAACATGACCCTTTTTTCTCTTTAAGACCCACTCTTTATGTAGGAAAATTGAACTCCCACCTCTACGCCTCCACTTCCCTTGTTCACCATGGAGTCTCATTAGTGGTGAGTTTAGATATATAATATTTTTTTATGATATACCTGCATTCACACTCCTAGTTTCATTTTTCATTTTAAGTTGTTTCAGCGTATCAGATCAAGTCTGTCGGACAGTTATGAACTAATAAGGATAGAGGCAATAACAATATAGTTGTCATGTGACCAGTTTGTGCTTCTTGTTGCCATGGCAGCCTCGGGGACTGACCTTGGGTCGAATTGAAGGTCCGTTGACGGCAGGAGTGACGGTCAGAGAACGAGGGGAGTGTGAGATCACACCGTTCACTGATGTGCGCTACCCACCGGGGAGCACCAACAGCCTTAAGAACCAATGGCTGCTAATAGGTACACACACACACACACACATACACATACACATACACATACACATACACACACACACACACACACACACATACTGTTTGTTTGTTTTACGTGTTTCAATGTTTGTGTGTATGTTATTGGTTCAATCTTGGCACGGGTCCCTTATAAAAGAGATTTAATAATCTCAATGGGATCTACTCGGTAAAGTTTACAGTATGTTTATTTATTTTTTTAACAATATGAGTAATAAAACAAGAGGAACTGTAAATCTACTTATCTAGGAAAAGTAAATTCCTCCTGGAACTGAATTATTTGTAAAATCGTGTGGAAACAAAGTCTCTAAATCAAAAAACAGTTTACATTAGCTTGGTTTTTGGAAAGTAAGACTTCTGGCTCAAAATGTTCTCACAACTGAAATATCTCTTTTATTTATTGACCAGACAAGAAAGTGACCCCCGCCCTGACATAAACACAGAGCCAGCTCACAATGCGTTATATCTGTGCTTCAGGTCACCATGAGCTGCCTCCAGTGGCTCACACCACCATGCTGAGGGACTTCCCTGTTGGCCTGCAGCGTTCGGGGGAGGCAGTCATCCCCCCCCGACCCACTGCCTCCCCCGCCTCATACTACCATCAGCGCTACGTGAGTCTCAGCTCCAAATACCTCTGTATCACTACTGCTGTCTACACCTGAGTCGGTAAATCACAGGAATGGTGTCGAGCAATAATCCTCTTTGATCTGGTTTTTAATGTCTATTATTGCGCACTTTAAGCTGCCTCAGAGATCCAGACATTAATGTGATAAACTTCAAACTGCATGCCAGAAACAGAAAGTCCTTTCCCCAGCAGGTACATTTACTGCGTTACAATAGCAAAGATCTGTGCAGATGTAAGGCAAAAATGAAAAGACTAGACCGGGATATTAAATAAAGAGGCAAACACACATTAATAAAAAATAACAAATAAGTACATGGTAAAAAAATAAGAAGCTGTATTTAAGTAAGTAAACATAAAACTGTATTTTAGGAGCCAGTAACATTAACAAATTGTAAATAAGTTGTCAAAATAAAGTGTAAATTGCACACATTGCACAACAGATGTTAACACCCACTTAGGTTGTAAATAATAAGTGAAACCTCCTCACGTTTCCACTGTTTCCCATCCTTGTTGTCTTATTGTGTCCTTCAGTTCGAGGCAGTTGCTGATAGCCATGGCGACACCCGTGCTAACAGAGGAGGGGTTAATGGGAAGATGTCGGGACAGGCTCAGAGGCCGGCCGCTGTGCTGCCCTTCTCCATGACCCAGGACCGCCTGACTCTGGCTGTCCTCACGCTGCTGCTGGGGGGGTGGCTGGCCTTCGTCTTCACGTACCCCCTTGTGAGTTTGTGTGTCTGTTTTTCAGGTTTTATTCTCAAAAATAATTGTTTTGAATTTGGTGCCAAAATATGAATAATAATAAAGTTTCAATTGAAAAATGTGTGAAGCTAAATTGCTCACAAGTGCTTTGCTCCTAAGATAGACCATGAAACAAGGACAATAATGCACCATAGAAAAATTCCTAGATTCATGCCTCAATAAGTGCATCTAACAAAGCATACTTAGTTACTAAGATAGTGATTATATGGCAACATGCACTTCAAATGCCTCTTTTTTTATCAGTGTTTTACCTTATTTTTAAAACATTTGTGCTGATAAGCGGTTTCTGTGATTTGTATTGACACTGTTGCAAAGGACAGTTGTATGGTCTTATAATATCTCTCAAGAAACGCTCCGGTTATCATCCTTTTTTATGACTGATGTCTCAAACTCCATCTTATTACAGAGTTTTTTAATCTGTATGTGATTCTCCAGCGTGCAGCTCATCAGCTGAAAGCTCAGAGGCAAATGGAGGAGGCGTTTGAGTCTCGTCTCCAGCGCATGCAGACCAACATGCAGACCAACATGCAGACAATGAGCTCTGTTTCTTCAGACACAACGCTTTCTACTGACACAAACCTCTCCAGTGGTAAGTCACCTATAAAACAAGTTCCATACTATTCTCTTTTTCCTATATTTATACCTTGGGAACAGGGTAGATGCTTTAACATGTTTCTTTCAATTTCACTTGAGAACTGAAGCATTAATAGAATATATTAAGTAGTGTTGAAGCAGCATATTTGACTTACTTCTACACTGTATCTTCACTGTCCTTTATTCAGACTCTCAGCCTGCCTCAGCTGACCCTCCACCGAGTCCTCACACTCACAGCAGCAGCACCTCAGATGTCGATTTAAATGTCACGTCTGCGTACAACCCTACAGCAGGTAACACAACAGACTGTGTATTGTTTCCTTTTGCCGCTCATCATTAACAGGAGATTTATTTATTTCTGCTTCCTTCTTCCTTCTTGCCTTTCTCAGAAGGAAACAGTGAAGAGGTGCATGTTGGAAAAATCTCCTTCACTCCATCTGAGGTGCTTGGACACGGCACTGCAGGAACTTTTGTCTTCAGGTACTGTATGTGTATTTAACACAGCACTATTTCACATTTCAGGATACTTAATCAGTCAACTATATTTGTGTATTTGCATGTTTTAGATGGTGCAAGGCCTAATGACAGCTACATTTAAATCAGCCATAACAACCAAACCAAAAACCAAATAGATTGTTACCCTTACCTTTCCACAAGAGATATAAAAACATCTCTCCAGTAAAAATGACCTAGTTTTCCTACCACATTGAAAAATAAGACCAATATCTATTTGACAGTAGGCTTTGAAAAATTGCCAAAGCTCATAAAACAGCTTTGAGTTCTGGGTTGACGATTCAAAACCTGAACATGTTTAATAACTCTGAGATAAACTCTATTGTTCTGTGGCACATGCAGTGCTAGGCATAATATGTTATGGTTCTCTGTTTTTGGGACCTCAGGGGTAATTTTGATGGACGGCAGGTAGCGGTGAAGCGAATACTGCCGGAGTGTTTCGAGGTAGCAGAACGTGAGGTGCAGCTGCTCCGGGAGTCTGACACTCATCCGAATGTCATCCGATATTTCTGCACAGAGAGAGACCGCCTCTTCACCTACATCGCCATCGAGCTGTGCACCGCCACCCTGCAGCAGGTCCGCACTGAAGGGCCCTTTGTTACTCAAAGCTAGAGTTATTAAGCCTTTGTTACATCGAATTCTTTAACAGAACCTTTTTTAATGCCTCAACTGTGAACAAATGAAACCAAAAACTGAGCAAATTCTCCAATAATTAAAAAGAAAATGCTGTTAAGCATAATCTGTTTTTAGTTTGATATTCTACTCAGGGAGTGAGAGAAGGTAACAGCAAATGTGTATTGAATACTAAGGTAAAAGTGAAAATTGCTGATCTGTTTATGTTAATAAGACTAGGATTATTACTGCACGAGTTCTATGAGAGTTTGTAAACTGAGTTTGTTTTTGGTGTGGTTAACTGTTGTTAAACTTGGCCCATAAGAACTTTACTTCATCAAGAGTTTTTTCTCAAATTTTAGCAAGTAAAGGGTGAGTCATTTAACAGAACTAACGTGTTTTGTGTGTGTCTTTGTTCCCTGCAGTATGTGGAGGATCCGTCTGGTTTTCCTGAGCTGAATCCGATAACTCTGCTGGGGCAGACCATGTGTGGCCTCTCACACCTCCACTCCCTCAACATAGGTAACACATAGATAAATACAAGCATATAAGTACACAAATGATGTTTCTATTGTATTACCCACAGAGACAGAAGGCACTGCAGTGCTGCAATCTTATCTTTCATGAATATTTCTTCATATATTTTGTTATTACATTTTATTAATTTATTTTAATATTGACTATTTATTGTTTTTCTCTTATAGAGCCAGCAAAAGCAATTCACAAAATGTTACTGTTAACAATGAATATATTGAAACTTCAATCTTGCATATCTTAAACAGCTAAGCATTGTTCCTTCATTTCTTCTTGGCTCTCCATCGTCTCTCCCTGTAGTCCACCGTGACTTGAAGCCCAGAAACATCCTCCTGTCTGGTCCCAGTGCGCTGGGGCGGGTCAGAGCGCTCATCTCTGACTTTGGACTCTGTAAGAAGATCCCAGAGGGCCGGTGCAGCTTCTCTTTGAGATCAGGAATCCCGGGAACTGAAGGGTGGATCGCTCCTGAAGTACTGCGGGATACTCCGGGAAACAAACCGGTACGATGCACTCACACAGATCTGACATACTCCAGAAGTCAACTTGATAGCTAAAATGGTCACAGTGTGAAAAAACGAATATATGACAATTACGGTTTGAATGTAGGTTAAGGAGTTTATTATTCAGTTTTTAAAGCAACTACAAATACCTTTTATTTTGTGTTGAATTTGCCGGCCCTTGTGGGAAAAAGTGGTGATGTTTTCCATGACCCCCATCAATCGCCTCATGTCCTAAAGATCTCTATCTGGCTAGCATAAAGTAAGTTAGCCTTTAGCGACCAGCTTAAATTCAGATTGAGACCTAAAAACAGTTCTCTAAATGCATTTCATAAATAAAATAGACATTTAGTTTGACTCTTATTTCCACTCTGCGCTCTATCAATATCCCTCTTAAGTTTCTGTTTTTTTGCTTAATTTGTTTATTTTTCTCTTTGCTATTTTTACCCCAGTAGTTACATTTACTTTTTTTTAATTAAATACAGTTTTTTTCGTCCCAAAAATACATATGAAAGCAAAAGATAATAAACACTGACGTAGAAGAATTTGTAGGTGCTAAGTGTTCCTCCTCTCCCCTGTACAGACGGCAGCGGTGGACGTCTTCTCGGCAGGTTGCGTGTTTTACTACGTGGTCAGCAGGGGGCAGCACCCCTTCGGTGATAAGTTAAGACGGCAGGTGAACATCCTGTCAGGAGAATACTCACTCTCGCATTTTATGGAGGATAAACATGGTGAGAGAAGTAAATGTCTATGTGTCTTGTTTCATGCATAAGCTCGCATTAGTTTTATTCCAGATTTAAAGCTAGTTTAGTCAATTCCTACACAAAATCTCTACATAACATTCTCAAATAAAGAGATTTCTATTTACTAATCGCTGTCCTGCATTGAAAAAAGAGTTCTAAAACATCATGGTTAGTCACTTTTCAACAAGCTAACCATCCTGAAAATACGCTCAGGGCTCCAGAGAATTAACTTGAGCTTCTTCAGTAGAACTGTCTCTCAAGATGAGTCACTATAACCACTGTTGATTTCAGGGTTTACATGTATTATATGTACATGTATATGGGGTTGGTCATTGCTCCCAGAAAAGGGTTGCAGGCAGTATTGTAGACAGTATAAATCACAAAGATCAGCTGATGTCCCAAGCAGTGAAAACACATAAAACCTGAAAATGCTTCTCATTAATTACAGACGACGTCATAGCACATGATCTGATCGAGCGGATGATCTGTGCCGAGGCGGGGTCCCGGCCCTCCACCGCCTGCGTCCTCAAACATCCGTTCTTCTGGAGCCCTGAGAAGCAGCTGCTGTTTTTCCAGGTGAGGTCCTTCAGTTGTTCGTAGACACACAAAGGAACAGCTGGCTCCCTCGTGATACAATGCCTCCTGTTTTTATTACTACAAGTTATTTCTTCCTGGTTCAAAAAAATCTTATTAGACCTTTAAGATTAGATTTTCATCTTCACTGAACCGGAAATGTTCAAGAGTTTTGGGTTTTTCCAGAAAGGTTTAGTTTTTATATCAAGCTTTAGTTTTACACTAGTTTTAGACTACAACTAAAACTGAATTAGTCATTAGTGTTTATCAGTTATTTATTTAGGTAATATAATTTCTGTTTAGTTTTGATTTCCTAAAGAATATTGACGATTAAACAATTTTTTAATGCTTTTTACAGTTTTTTGTTTACAAAAATAACCCTAGGTAGTGTAGTGTTGTTACCTGTTTGCTATTTGCTAAAGTGTGTGTGTGTGTGTGTGTGTGTGTGTGTGTGTGTGTGTGTGTGTGTGTGTGTGTGTGTGTGTGTGTGTGTGTGTGTGTGTGTGTGTGTGTGTGTGTGTGTGTGTGTGTGTGTGTGTGTGTGTGTGTGTGTGTGTGTGTGTGTGTGTGTGTGTGTGTGTGTGTGTGTGTGTGTGTGTAGGACGTGAGTGACCGCATCGAGAAGGAGCCCGCCGACAGTCCGATCGTGGTCAGACTGGAGGCAGCAGGACGGGCCGTGGTTCGAACCAACTGGAGGATGCACATCTCTGTGCCTCTGCAGACAGGTAACCACACAGCATCCATTACTGCTCTGTTTACACCTGTGCAGGATGACAAAGCCTTCAATGGTCTGTAACCTTCCTGTTTCAGACTTGAGGCGGTTCAGGACGTATAAAGGAAACTCAGTCAGAGATCTGCTGAGAGCCATGAGGAATAAGGTCAGCGGGTTTACTTTACTTTTCTTTGGGATGTACCAAATAGTCTGAAGCTTCATACACAATGTTGACCTTTGAATTCAATTGTGAATTCTTTCTTTTCATTCTGTTAAACTCTGTATTGCATAGTTGCAGATAAAGAATATGCTACACTGATATTATTAATGTTATATTATTTATTGATCTTGATTGACGCGGTAGAATTGTTTCCGGCACGTGTTATTCCAACCTTTCCAATAATGGTCCAAAAGTGAAAGTATATTGAAGTCATCATATCAAATAATCACAACAGCATGTTTTATTTAACAAAAACGTCTGCTTTAATCCATATTGGTTGGCGTTTAGCCTTTTAAAACCTTTACTGTTGTCAAAACATTGTTTGACTTTTCTCAAAGGGAGGCATGCACCGTAGTAAGGGCTGTTATATATATATTACTTATATATAACCACAATAATATTATAGAAAATTAATGATTAGACTAAAGAAGTTTACAAAATAATATAATACTTTTCTGCATTGGCTTGGTTCTCCATCAAGATGTCATCTCTTGACTGATGTTGACCAACCTGTTGTATTCGTTACAGAAAGTTGGTTCAATAACAAAGACAAAGTCATTTATTGAATCTCTTTATTATAATTGATTGCTCTGACGTCCTAAAATAAGACATTAGAAGATCATTTCTACCTCAATAGGAGCTTCAATGTAAACGTCCAGTACAGCCCTACACTTTAATTTATTTGTTACAAGCATCCTAACTTTAACGCCTGTATGTGTTCATTCCCCCCTGCAGAAGCATCACTACCACGAGCTGCCTCCGGAGGTGCAGGAGACGCTCGGAGAGCTGCCCGAAGGCTTCATCAGCTACTTCACATCACGGTTTCCACGGTTACTGATGCACACACACGCAGCTCTGCACATCTGCTCACATGAGAGACTGTTTCACCCCTACTATCTGCACCCCAACGCCAAATAGTAATGACATGGCTCTGCACTCTATACTCACACACACACACACACACACACACACACACACACACACACACACACACACACACACACACACACACACACACACACACACACACACACACACACACAGAGATACACTATTGTGCGATTTTGTGAGCAAGAGAAATCGCTAACAGTGCCCCGTTATTGCTTTTGTAAAGCCCTTACTGTTTTTTAGGGGGAAGATACAGTGCTGTGAAAAAGGTTTTATATGGCTTGAGTTGTTTTTATAGATTTATCTTGTTGTTATGCAGCTGTTGAAGAAGCACTCAAAATGCATCTCTCCACAAAAGCTGCATACATTTTTTAATTGAATAATATACAATGTTTTTAAACTACATCCATCCGGATCTTTGTTTTCAATTAAATGAATATTTCAGCAACATTTTACTTAAAAGTCCCAAACATGTTCAAAACATGAGGGATATTTTAGTTTTAATTAAGTGTCGTCTGATTTTGTATGAGAGGTACTAAACATGGTAAAGGGAATAGATTTTTTATAAATAGCAGCAACCTGTCCTCGGTTATGGCCCTGGTTAGAGCATTCATTACATTAAATTACATGACATGACATGTCACTTGTTAGACACTTTTATCCAAAGTGACTTACATACATTCAGTTCTGTGGGCAGTCCCCACAAAAGCAAACATTTTGCACTATGGCCAAAAAAAAATCCAGAAAACAAATCAATTACTTTTCAGTCCATTTGACCAGATTTGATTGGAATATGTTTACAATGTTGAGATTTTCATCAAGGATTGAAAAACACACCTGTTTGACACAATATATTATTTCAGAGGGGTTTTTGTTTATTTATCTTTTTGCATATTTAAGAACGAGATTAACTGGAAACAAAAGGGGGGGGGGGTTTGTGTCTCACCGACTACTACCAACTATTTTTGAAATTGGTCCAGTATTGAGCGAAGGAGCTGCAAACGGCAGCCGCTTAACAGCACGTTGTTTAATCAAATAAATGTTTCAGTAGAGATGGAATTCAATAGATACAAATATCATTGGCACATTTTTTAAACTGTTTGGAAAGGACCATACAGATAAAAAAACAAATGTTTCTGTCATTGTGTCTAACCAAGACTTGCTCAGGGACAACTCTTGTTCTGATATCTCCCGTTGCGTCCACACTGTTGAAATCAGCTTAATAATAAGCCATGGCTTTGTAAATGATTTAGATAACACCGAGCTACACTTTCTGAACATCGCCACACTCCTCTCTTTCTGTCTTCTGGCAATAAGTCACACGGCACATTAACAAACATCCCGAAACAAGCAAAAGGTATAATAACACTTTTAGACCTCTTCGGGGGTGATCCCTCATGTTGAAAGACACTTTTAATAACAATCTGAGCCTGCATTTCGCAAAAAACACACATTTTCTGTGGACTTCAATTGACTGCCATCTGCAGCTCTCTCACTCAATACTGTTCCAATTAAAAAAAGTATCTTTCCTATTAGTCACTTAGACACAAAGAAATGAAAAATATGGTCTAGGTTGAAGGAATACCAACTTCTCCCCTTAAATAGCACCACTTGTTGGATGACAGTGTGTCACAGCATTCGGCATCTCAGACACTGGACAACAGGTTTTATGGAAAATTCGACTTGTGCTGCTGTTACACGTTTGTTTTGTCATAGGATGAATCCCGGTTTCTTCGATGCTGCTGTGCTTTTTTCAGCTCCTCTACCAAAGACTCAACAATATTGACCTTGCTGTTTGTTTTCATGTGTTTGTTATGTGTGTCTGGATGTAGCTACACTGACTGAAGAATGTACTGAGCCTTGTTTTTCACTAGAAGCAGTACATGTAGCGTAAAATAATATGATTGACACTGTAAAAATGTGGGCAATGTGCAAGTGTGCAGGCAACATTGTAACATGCTACATTTGCCCATTTCATTTTTATTTAAAGATATTTGATGTTTCCCTTTCTTCAACAGATATGTTTCTCCTGAATGTCAGCATTGCTTGAACTTTTTGATCCTAAAAATATGCACCTAAATGCTCACGGATATATGTGAAATATCTTTCAGTAACTACTGGATGAAGGTTTTTTGCATTGGTCTGCAGTAGAATGAATGATGAAGAATCACACTTTTGTACTTTTTTGAGTGAATTAAACTGATGCTTTGGGTGTGCCAAAGATGAGTAAATCAAATCTTGTCGTCAGTTTGTAAACAGAGAAAGAGAAACTGTGAGATACATATTGGTCTTTACTTGACCAGTTCAATAAGAAAGGGTTTATGGTAATTGAAAAAAGAAAGTGACAATTATTTTGATGATTTATACTTATTTGAGAAAAGTGAGATTGAAAATATTCAATACACAAAATGTAACACAAGGCTTATTTGATACATCAGAGCAAAAACGAAATCACTTTAAAGGACATATTGTTGTCTTTTCCCTTGATGAATTAAAGCTGAAGTCACAATTCCAATGAGTTGATTGGAGGTCATTCGGATCAGCTGTTGCCAGGTGTGGAGACTGGCTCCTAATGAAGAAGTGAGAGCACCTTGAGGCAATTTTCCTCTCGGCCAATCAGATTGTGCTTAGGCCCTCATGTCACCGGCTTAATAGAGGAAGGGACTCAAACAGCCAGTCTGGTCCTTCCTGGGCTGAATGCACACCTCGCTGTTTCCAGAAACTCTCGTTTTCTTTTTGAGAATTCTTTGATGTCTCACTTACTTTTCTAATGGGGGGGAATTTGAGAGTTCTCAAAACTAGCTGGAGTGATTATTAAAAAACGTTAAGGTTTCCTGCACCATGCCAAAGATACTATAAGTGAAAGAGTTTATCCATAACTATAATCAACTATTATCAAAGTTGAATTTGTTTTTATTGAAACAACACCCTTTTATACAATGCTACAATTGGGCAGTGACGGAGGAGCTTTTTGTGTGTTTTAAGCGACTGTTTAGTGGTTTAAGTAGCTTCCATTGTTTAATATTATGGTTGTCTTGTGAACAGCATGACAAACAGTAGTCGGGATGAGTGGAAATCGTAGTATGAGAAATGTCCCAGCTTATGAAAACAGGAATTTCCAAGATTAAACCAACCCAAGCCCCCAACTTAAAAACCTTTTTTTTTATAGAAGCCAACATCTATTTATAAGATATTCACAATGCATTGCATGATGTTAATATTAGTTGTTAATCCTTTTAATATTTTAGGAATAAATTGTGAGACTTGAAAGGGAACGTTTCTTAAATTGCTGAAGTTAAAGGCCCTGAAAACACAATTTCACGATCAGGTTCTTACTCTGAGCGTCAACAGAACATGATTTCAGAGCGTTACTACATTTATATTTTTGTTGATGCTCTTCGAACTGGTTGTTTACCTACTTTATGTAATAATCAGCAACATTCTAATTAGATTTGATGACAGTGTTGTCGCTTAGGTTGACATGCCGCTCGTTTGAATCTCATCCAAGAACATTCAAACAGTCCTTGTTATGACGATTAGTCCTTTAAGTGTTACATATCAAGAATAACTAATGATGTTTTCCCCAAAAAACATTTTTACTTTGATTTTTGCTTATGTAGTCAAGAATATTTCATATTTAAATATTACACCCTGGAGTTTTGGATTCAGTAGGTTGTTCATCTTGGCCAGGCATCTTCTGAAAAAATTATATTTCTGTCCTCTTGAGTAATTTCACTGAAAAAGATATATAAAATACTGCAGCTATGACAGAAAAAAGAATATGTCTTGGGCCTTTTCGAAGTGGATATGCTGCAGGCTTGACATAATGTGACAAAACAATACAAAATTAAACAGGAGATAAATTGAAAAACAGAATAGTTTATTGCAGAGACGTGTAGTATAGTTGTGTCTCCTAATTGCAGCTGGTAGTTTAAATAAGTGTTGATGGATGGCTGAAAGAATAATGGTGTTTGCATGTAATTTAGTAGTAAATTATGTATGAGTAATTATCCAGTCTGAGGCAGTAATTACCTGAGACATGACATTTTAAATCCAATCTTTTTTTCTCCACAACATGAAACGACAGCTTTAACACAATCAAAGTGTAGTGACAGTGAAATCTGGAAATGAATGAACAATTATCCAGATGTCAAAGACTGGAACAGCAGGTATTATGCATGCATTCACTCAAAACACTTTAATTCATGCTGAACAATGGAAACCTAATGACCAGGATTAGGCTTTTCAGTGTTATCATGAAAGTCTGACAGGTCACACATTCACTGACGGGATAAAAAGAAAAGTGTGTTATATTGAGGTTTTTGAATGTGTCACATGTGAGTGTGAGTGGAGCCATGCTGGGTCAAAAGCTCCCATCAAATCTGGTTAAAGTGTAAGTGCTATATTTCTACAGAAAACACTTAAAAAAAGTGATTTTGTCCAAGGAAAGTTTTGAGTTCCTTCAAAATGACCGAAATCACAATTTCATTAGCAGAAATCTATAAGAGGGGATTGGTCATTTTAAAAGGGTTTCTTTCCTCGATTTGGTTTCACAACTGTGAAATGTAACATTTAAATTGTGAGAGGGTTAATGAAACAATCTGTTAATTGTGTGCATGTGTAAAGGTTAACAAAATGACTCACTTTTCTGGCAATGCGACGTAAAAAATATCCTGTCTGTCATCACAGCAAAATGCAATGACTCAGATAGGCCTTAGTTAAAAATATTGAGAACATTTCTCAATATTTGGCGATTTATTTTGGTCCGTTTGATACATTTCAGGATCTTTTGGGGATTTTTCTGTTTGGCTTCCTTAAATTCTATCACTGCCTGAAGTACTTTGGAAAAATATTTTGAGTTAAAAGATAAAAATAGAGAGCCTAATCAGACAGTAGGGTTTATTAAAATGTTGCATAACTGCTTTTAAACCAAAAGAGGGAGACATCTACCCTTTTTGTGTAACATTAAAGTATGGAGGGGGAGATGAACAAACAGAGGGAATAACTATTTATTAAATTGTTTACTTAAATTAATTAAACTTTAGCATGAGGCACAGTGTAAAAGTTTTAGGATTATGTAAGCATGCCTGTGCAGTTTAGTTTGTCATCTATCTGGCTTGCTCATCTCCCCTTATTAACGAACACGCTGCCCTGAAGGCTTTACACCCAGAGAGAGAGCACTTCCTGCAGATAAGATGCCAGGCATCACAAAGTTAATTCCACTGTCAGTTTGAACTAAAACAGAAGTGGTTTAATGACGCGACAGCCAGCGGTCCAGCGATGTGTCATGGACAAATCATCAGCTAATGAACCACAAGTTGTTTATATTTCAGTGTGTGTGTGTGTGTGTGTGTGTGTGTGTGTGTGTGTGTGTGTGTGTGTGTGTGTGTGTGTGTGTGTGTGTGTGTGTGTGTGTGTGTGTGTGTGTGTGTGTGTGTGTGTGTGTGTGTGTGTGTGTGTGTGTGTGTGTGTGTGTGTCAGAGACAGAGCGAGTACTTGGCTCATTATTAAATATCAGAGTTCAGCTGTAGGTCCAATCAAAACAGCCTTAGGGGAACATCAGCTTAACCAGAGTCATGAGACCAGATTCACATGCACACGGGCAGCCGTACACACACTCAACCCCTCTTTCAAACACACACACACACACACACACACACACACACACACACACACACACCACACACACACACACACACACACACACACACACACACACACACACAGACACACACACACACACACACACACACACACCATGTATACATCACTTCAGGGGACATTACATTGACTTACATGCGTTTCCTGGAGACTTATCCTAACCTTAACCATAACCAACACATGCCTAACCCTAACCCTTACCCTTAACCTTACCCTTAACCTAACCCTAACCCTAAACCTAACCAAGTCTTCACCCTAAAATTAATGATTCCCCTCATGGGGACCTCCATGTTGTCCCCATAAGGGAGGCGAGTCCCCACACGTGACTGTGTAAACAGATTTAGGTGTTTTTCGCTTTTGCCATAACAACACCTGAATGGAAGCGCTGAAACATATTCATCACATTGGAAAAAAGTTTTGACCCTAGGAATAATATGAAAAGTTGCTGTTTTATTTTAAACTTAACAAACTATCATATTTGTTTAAGGTTTAACTGGTGCTTTCTTATCTACATTCTCCTGTTGGGCCCTCTTCTTCTGCAATGGCGCCAACTCACTCTATATCTCGATGAATCGACAGCATTTCCTTTCCTAATTTTTCTCAATATTTGGTCACGATTAGCAACACATTGATACACACCTGACTATAGGTTGCCACATGGCTGCTGAGGTGTTCACTTGGTTGTCGTCCAGTGTCTGGTGGTAGAGTCCATTGAGTGTTGGTGCTAGGTCATTTATATGGTCTTTGGGGTGATGCAGGTGTGTTCAATCTAGGTAAAGCGGGTCTTGGTTAATTCTTTATGTGTATCACTATGTGGTTACTGTGACTATAGAGAGATGAAGTCCCTTCCTTGTGGACAACCAGAGGACCCCCATTGTAAAAAATATAAATGCTCAATGGTGAGGTACTTTTTTCTTCTATAAAATTATTTTTAGACATTTCTGATTTATTTTGTGAGACAGGAAAGGCAAACACTTGCCAAACTGCAAAGAGTGGTAGGTCACATGACTGCATGGAGCATCATAAGATAAATAGATTGAGTGAAATATAAAACGGAGAATATAGTGGCAAATGAGCTTTTTAGATTGTCCCATTGTTTTTAAACATCTGTGAAAAAGGAGAATAAGATATATCACACAGACAGTGTCCCAGTTGATCAACCAAACATTTTTTTATTAGAAGTATTTATTTTAAGATTTAGGTTTGAATATGCAAATGAGGCATTATCTTATGCTGACCGTTGAATGCAAGATACATCTATAGATGCAAATAATACAGAATGTAACAAAAAACACCTAAATGTGTAGTTTTGATGTTTTCTTTCCAGCAGTCTGAGAGAAGACATGTTATACAACCAGAATTGCTCAAACGCAGAATTTAAAAGTGCATGAAAAACAATTTTTTGCCAAAAAAGGGAAAAAAGCTGACACCAATGTTACAATAACCCCTAATATATTAAATAATAATATCACTTCAGGAATAAAAAACAAATATTTAAATCAAAATCAATGTGTGTCAGTCAAGAGCTCTGAATTATCCCTCCGGCGCTGATGTTCTGTTAATGAGTTTTGCATA